CGTAGTGATGTGTGCTCCAGAAACGTTGGGAGTATTTGAATAACTTTCTCTGAACCATTCATTTTGAAAAACTGTTGGTTCAGCATTCAACATCAATAGTGCGAGTGGAGGAAACTTGTGGTTTTGAGCTCTAGCTTCCAGGTTTCGGGGTTTGGTTTTTTCCGCTCAGTTGTACTCTGGTGGTTACAGAAGTCTTTAAGTTTTTCTTCTCATAGCTGTGGAGGTAGTGATTGTCTATCTGAAGGTATTTTTTCTTGCAAATTGTAGCTTGGTTTGTTTGGGGAATGGACAACGGAGCTGCTGGTAGGAGCAGTTAACGCTTAACGCTTCCTGTTGTATGCATCTGCAAGTAAGTTTTAAGCTCTACTTATAAGGTATTGCTAGGAATAGGGCGAGTGGAGAATGAGAAAAAGAGGAGTAAAAGGTACTAATGGAAAAATAAGTGTTGCTGGTAATATGGCGAAGGGATGGGTCTCATTGAGATACTAGGGCTGGGGGATACAGGGATGGATAAGGATACCTTTAGTTACCACCGACGAATGTTCGTGGTAAGCTATTTGCGCCCATGTACTTATCTAGTACTCTTTTGAAGGAGTCGACTGATGTAGGTGTGGCTACTTCCTTTGGGAGAGCATCCCATAAGGCACATACTGTGCGTGAAAAAAGTTTGATCTCACTCTTGTCTTTGCCCTGTGGTGGAATATGCGAGTGGGATTCCCCGAGACTGTTGGTTTTGGATCGATATTGTTGATCTATTTCGGTTATCCACTTGGTAAATGATCTTGTAGGCTGTTATTAGGTCACCTTGTTTTTTCGGTAGCTTAGTGTGAACAAGTTGAGTTGTCTGTGGCGTTGCTCATATGTTTTGCCTGTTCGACAACCGACCTTGTCGTGCTTCTCTGTACTTTCTCGAGAGTATTCGCATCTTTCTTTAGTAGTGGGATGGGGGTGAGTGGCTATCGTGTGGACTATCTCTAGATTTGGTATAACATAGGTATTAAATACCATGAGGAATAATTCTGGGGCTAACGATCGAAGCTGCCTTCTTAGAAAGTGCATGATGGCGTTCGCCTTTGCTACCATCCTTTTATAATTGTCAGTAGTATCCAGTGTGTCGGGAAAGTTTAGTCCTAGGTCCTTCTCTGTGAATACCTTGGCGATTGCTCACTTGTTGAGGGTATATCTGGTTTTCATCGCTTCTGGTGTGTGCCGATACATCACCTTGCATTTCTCCAGGTTAAAGCTTAAACCTCTCGCAACTGACCAGGACTCCAGCTACAACAGATGGTCTTGGAGTATCCTAGGATCTGCTTCCTTGCCTATTGTCCTCCATATTTTAATGTCGACAAATAGGAGGATAGACGAGGCGATTTTAGTGGTAAGGTCATTTATGAATAGTAAAAATAGTAGTCCAAGGATCACTCCTTGAGAAACTCCTATTCTTGCACTTCTCCAGGCTGATGGAATTCTGTGTAGTTTAGTACAGAATTCTTTGTTCTCTAGATATGTTGTAAACCATTTTGAGTTCTTTAGTGACACCCACTTTTTCAAGTTAGGCAAGCTCGATGAAGTGTGGGATGCTATCGAAGTCTTCGGCTAAGTCCAGAAAGATAACATGGACTGGTTGCTTGTTGCCCCATCTAGCGGTCCAGTCATCTCAGGCGGTCATTAAGTTTGTGGCACATGACCGTCCGGTTCTGAAACTGTGTTGGGGGGAGGGATGGGCTACGTTGTTTTCATTAAGGTAGTCTTCAACAATAGCTGCAACTGTGCTTCCCAGTTCCTTGGATAGTATGGAAAGTAATGCTATTGGTCTGTAATTACATGGTTTTTTTCAGTCTCCTCCCTCAAAGATTGGTGAGAAGATAACACGTTCCCATTCTTTGGAGAGTTGACTTACAACCAGTGCATGAACAGGCTGCATATGGGCATGCTTAGCACTTCGGCACAGTTTCGTAGGACCACCGGTCTTATGTCGTCATAACCCGGAGATTTCCTTATTCCCTTTGTTGAAAGTTTCGGAAACACTTGGTTTGATGAAATCTTTACATTCATCAGCTTTGTATAGTGGTCCTGCAACTTCTTTACATTATTAGATGTTGGTAGTGAATGCATCACTGTGCTGAATTGCTCGTCAAATCGGTTGCTCAGCAGTTCCGCTATCACATTGCTGTGGTCAGGTTTAAACCTTTATTCTTCGGTTTTCTTTGTGACTTAAACCGATATAGGCTTTTCGGATTGTAACTTGGCTGTTTGGCTAGGTTACCCTGATATGTGTACCTGTCATTACGAACTCTAATATTACATATGATATGCACCACCGATACTATGCCTTCTTTTCCTCTGTATTTGCATTCGGGTTGCGTGAGTTACCCAAGGTGGTTTGAGAAGCAGTCATCCGATTAATTTTGGAACACTTCGATAGCGCTCCAACTAATATCTTTAACATGTATCCAATGTTCGTCTATCGATAGTGAGTACCATTCTTGCTGCCATGTATCATCCAGGAGTTCATTGTTCATGAGATGGTAGTTTGCTTATCGATAACAGCGGAACGCTTCTGGCTCAACTATTAGTAGTTTCTCCTTGGTTATCGGAGAGAATCTCACAAAAGCGTGATCGTTTTTGCCTAGAGTGGGGGGGGGGCGGGGGGTTGGACAAAGATATGGATGCAAACGTGAACTTCAAACTTGGTGTTTGCAAGTAACTGTGGCCAATAGTTGTCATCTTCCAGTAAAATATCTCATAGTTCATCTCAGCACTTTTACGGGGCCCTGTGCACCTCTTGATTTGCCCTGTACTCCACATAATACCGGATCACCAGAAATTTCCCTACGTTATATGTGTGACCCCATGGTTCACTTTGAAGTTGACTTTTTACTTTGATCTTAACGTAGTTGTTTGCATGAATGGATCTCCTTAGTTTTATGAATTTCTACCTTATATTTTCTGGACATGTGTCTTGCTGCCTTGTCATGTGATTCCGTATTCCCCTTCAGTTCGCTGCGCAGTCAGTGATACCATATTGGTGCGACTAAAAATTCGTGTTGTCTTCAGAATAATCAATCAGAATTGCGTTATCTGTTTGATTATTTGGGCTAGAGAAAAGCCTCAAAACCCTACTGTTTTACCATACATAGGCTAATGCACAATCTGAAAAGGTTCTGAGCTGGAGTGAAGAATGAAAAATCTCATAGGTATTCGTCAGAAATCGGCACCTTTGATTAGAAAAAAATCAAGATAGGTGTGGAAACATAGATATAAAGAGCTAAAAGTCGGCATTGAAAGTTTTCCCTTTACAAAGTAGGTAACTAAACATGAAAGGACGCGAGAAAATGTGTTTGTTACACTGGGGGCCTATTTCCTTTCTGTTTCTTGACCGAATAGAGACTTTTAATCCACTTCAGGTTGTAGGAATTTATGGTTAGAGCATTTGTTCGGTGTTGATTGTAGCACCTCAGCGACCAACCGCATAAATCATGTGAATTTTTCCCCTTGGTAGCTTCAACCTAAAGCAGTACAAATATGTTCGAAATCCCGGAAACTTGAAACTTATACAAGACGATCTAGTTCCCTACCTAAAGAAATGCGTACTCAAATAATATAGACTGGATGCTTGTTGTCTGGACAGCATAAGAAACAGCTCAACAAGCTGTTCAAGGACAGCACAATTTTCAGTTCTGCCAAATCTTATGACTTAATCATAAAACTAGTGTTTACTACTTATGGATTATAATGGTCATGAAAAGCTTTGATTTGCTCACATATACACGCGTCAAAAATAGGTGGGTCAATGTTGGTTATGCTTTTTGTGACGTTAGGTTTTTAGTCATTTCAGGGGGGAGGATAGTTTTGGCACACTCGTTCATACTACTGACTGTGTTTTTAATAAGCATGTTTCTCTCAGTTATTCGTCAGTGTGAATGATATAAAAATGTAATTGTCACACCTTTGGGTTCTCATAGAACACTTCCTACTTTCACATCAGGAAATTTAAACTTTTAGCTTCTGTTAATGACATTGAGTCGTTTCTGTTCATTCATACTGTTCGACTTGTGAAGAAAGTGCTCCTGTCGTTGATTTGGCAATGAGAATAAACGCTTTCATAGTCGTTGTTACTCTATTTTTAAGTGTTGGAGGCTCTGTCTGTCATTCTAGATGACCTTAGCACCCCTTCTAGCAGTAACTCAAGTGTGATTTACATAAAACGGTCTTGCATTTCCAATGTGATCAAATGCACAAATCTTTACTTCGCTGTTAGAGCTTAGAAAAGTTTCATGATTAACCGTTAGGTGCATTTCAAATCCTACAGGTAATGCACGGCACTTCAGGACTAGTTTAAATTAATGCTTATTTTTAAGGCAGTCGGTGAAGTAGTCAAAAACGTTGACGACTATTATTTCTTGAAAAGTTGCATAAGCCTTGATTGAATCGTTTCTGAAGAAATCTCTACATACATTCTAAAGATTGACTTTCGGATCTTAAACTTCCTAATTACTTCACTGGAGAGATCTATTAATCCTAAATAACACCTGTCGAACAATAGTTTTCTGGTTGACAAACATGGTTACTCTTTATGAGAAGGTTCCTAGTCTTTAATCGCTGATGGTTTTGAAGTTTTGTTTGGGTAAGATAAGATCGTTAGGCTAAGAATTCTAGGCAGTGAACTCAAATTGATTGGTTAAATTTTGAACTTGTACTACTTGTTGAAACCCTAACCTTCAGACTTTTTCAACACTAGATTTCCTTTATCTTCATACTCTTTCGTGTAAAACAAATAATTATTTCCTTTCATACTTTTTAGGTTCTTTGCTTTCTGGGATTTATCGACAAAGCCTGCCACCGACCGGCATTTCTTTGCTATATAGGGTTAACTGGTGATTTTTGCCAGCGTTCCGTTATTGTTAGGCTTTTCATTACCACCAAATTCGGATTACGCTGACTCATTTAGGAGACAAGTGCTCAGCGATTTTGATGGAAAGCTTTCATCCAATAAAAATATGGAGCCAGGTAACTTATCATACAAGTAGTTAGTGATTCATGTTTATTTAGTAACATTGTCTCAGATATTCGATGATCAACTGTTTAACGACATTTCTGAAAACCTTCTAGACGACATCGATGTAAGCGATTTCTCCTTCGACTTGTCGACATTTTTGGATAGTCCAGAAATTAAAAATCTGGATAATGGGGTACTTTCGCACCAGTCGTCCGAAAAGACGACATTAGGATCATTGCTGAAGTGTATGCCAGTTTCAGATACAATAGCAACGCATACAGGTAGGTCATATTTATTCATCATACGATTGTTTCAGAGTTGCAATCTGTAGGCGGTATTGGTGGACAAGAGGATCACAATAAACAGCGGTTCATGCGTGAATTCACTTCTTTGGATCGTTCTAATATCACACAAGCGAAATCAAGTAGTCAAGCTTGTGCACCTATTCAGAACACATCTGACGTGCCAGTAATGTCCAAACTATTGTGTGATTCCGAATTACAAAATTTTGATGCCAAAAGGACCTGGTGCGACCCAAACAAGGCATATTCTGTTCAGCATTCTTCACCTCATATGGGTTTTCAAAAAGCACATTTTACTATCTGTAAAAGTGAAAAAAGTAGGTACATTCATACCGCGCTCTCTCATCGTTGTTCTTATAGTAGGTATGCTTGACGATATTTGCAGGCCGTTTGATTCTGACTGTAATCACTTTCTATTCTCCACATTTTCTCTGCCAAAGTTATTTCGTAATATCTGTTTCACTTTAAAAATAATGTACAGTAACTCGAACTTAACTCCTGTTCAAAGTTCCAGGTTGATCTATCTGTTTTTGATTTTTTTTTTACTGTGCATTTAGTACTGTAGTATCAGTCAGTAAACTATTTTTGAGATTTCCTCTACATAACCTTCCAGAAGATATACTCTTGGTTGATCAACCAACCACTTAAACGGCGATATACAACTAAGGAGTCATTTGGTTATCCAACTGTTCAAGAACAGTCTTTTAAAATCCTGTTGACGTGACTTAGTAGTAGTAGATGCGTTCGTTGGTTTTTCTAAGTTTTAGGCATATTTTGTAACGTATATTTATTTACTTTCTCTTCAGTTATGTGGTTGTTAACTCAACATTTTCTTAGTTAAAAAAATGCAGTAGCTTGAACTGATATACTGTTTTACGAGATTTTGAGTTTTGGTGAACGAAATTAAAAGAGTTGAATTTTCATGACAAAGATTGGCATAACAAATAGTCTCTGTTGTTTCATTCCCAGGAAACGGTTAGCTGTAAACTTTTTAAATACCTGTTACCTGAGACTGTTTTTTTTATATTCCTGTTCTTAAATTCCGTCATTGATGCCAATCAACCTGACTAGACAAAAAAATATGGCCTTGCTAACTTGGCATTGTTTTTATATTTCAGAAGCGAATGGAAATTAAAAAAATTTAAAGTAGCTTATAACTAATCTTAGTTCGCCGTGTAATCTTTCTTTCCTTTCTAGAGTAAAAAGATGCTTGGTGATAAGAGTTAATAGTTGATTACTTTTGGTGAAATGGATGAAAATCTATCACAATGGCGCAAATGGTTTTACTCTTTGATGTCTTCTCAAACTTTAATGCTCTGACTTATCCTAATTTTTAAATTTCTTCCTCCATACACCTTTGTCCTCTTTGATACTAGTCTTTCTTATCCACTTGTTATTTGCATGCTGATGTGAATTGTAGCAATTCAAACGTTTGCATTTGTGTGCGAGGTTCTACTGTTATTTGTTCTGTCTGATGATTATCAACCTACGATTTGGAAAATATGCATAGGATTGTTGATTCAAGAATTATCTCTTAAATAAATAAATTACCAAGAACTGAGAATAGTCCAGTGAGATGAAATCTGTTTATCACAACTTGCGTAAGATTCTTTAGATGTCGACTTGTAGTTCTTCTGTTGGTCTTAACAATAGGTTGACTCAGTATATCGACACTGCTTTGTTTGCCAAATTACTTAATGTATTTTCAAGCGTACGGAGGCGTAGCTCAGTGGTTTAAGGAGATGATTATCAATCACTGAGCCACGGGTTCGAGCCGCCTATCAAGGTTGAGGCAGGTACGTAGTATCAGTAGCCCTTACACAATAGGTGTGGCTCATTGCCTGCTGCACGGAAGTGCACAAGGTGGCTGAGTGGATTTCATTCATTTCAAGCCATGGTAGATAAGTCTGCAGTTTAATATGTCACTGCAGTAATATTATTTCTAATTGTATTCCACTCAATGAAGGTTATTATTGTTGAATAGTTTATTAGCCTATCTCTTCTGATTTTTGTTTCTGTAACCATTTTTATAGAGTTTGTGTGGATGTTAGAAGTGAAGGTTTTGCAATTGCTGGTCATTGTTCAATTCATTCATTTCTTCAGACTTCAAATTTGTCGAGCTAACCTACATAGCCATACAGTGCTCGCTTGATTGTGTATTGTTGTCTCATTTCAAAAAAGTTTAAGAAAAGGTGACAAGTTTTTATTGTCTAAACACGCTGAGATTATATCAAAATATGCCCTAATAACTATTTAAAGAAACCGAATTGCCATCAAATGAATCATTTAAGCAAGCTTCTTTGAATGTAATTACTCCAGCGTTACTGTGAACTGTTCAGGATAAAAGAGACTGCGATTAGTCCACTTTTCACTGCATAGACCTGCAGTTTGTGTCTAAAACTATAGGCGAAACCATTAGAGATAAGCTTGTTCTCTTCAAAATATATAACCAGCCATGGTGTTTTTTATTCACCCTGTTTGGTGAGAGCATCGCTGTAGGTTCTAAATGTTTTTGTATAACGACTATGAATAGTTATTATGATTAAAGATCATCACTAAGTGTTTAAATCAACAAAAAATTGAATAAATTTGATGCGATTTATGAGAATGAAAATTTAGTAGCTCAAAAATTAGATTAGCCTGCTGTGAACATGGTGTGAAATGTAGTTGCGCATGCTCAACAGCTGCCAATATGTAAACACCATGCAGGCTAACGTAAAAGAAGAGTAAGGACCGGCAGCATTCGATAGATAGCATCATTTCATGAGGTCAAGTTGTTATTCTGAGTCAAGCAAAGAACTGTAAAGTAGAAATCAGCAGTCGACGTTGTGTTATGCTTTAACGGCATTCATTTTGAATGCAAAACTGTCGAGTCCAACATACTGTCTGTAATTTATCCGTAGGAATCTGTTATATTCTTGACTTTTACTGCATCGTTTCAAACCATACTAACACAGAGAGAAATATTTCTGTTTTGTACTTTTTTTGTTCTCCACAACATTTGATTTCCATATTTTTCTGGTAATTTGTCAAGGTGGTTACGGACATAATGTTTTGCTTGGTCTAGCGTTGTGTGTGGATTTCTCCATGACCTGATGTTTTTCCACTCGGTTTCGGTATTCTTCAGTCATCATTGTCGAAACACGTACTTCTTTATCATTCGGTATCGACAGGAAGCAAGATATGTTCTAGGCAGTTATCATATCTCAAATACTTTGGATCCGTCTCGGTGTAACCAGTTAACATATTTGTTTTCCTCGTATTTTTAGATATCAAGGTAAACACCAAACAGTCTGAAGAGAACGAACCTATGAAAAGAGCACCTCATAATGCTATTGAGAAACGTTATCGTGCCAGTATTAATGGAAAAATAGACGAGCTTCGTAGGCTTTTGGCACCAAACTCATCCGGAGATGTAAAGGTACGTTTTAACTTTTATCAATTCATATATTCTTCTGTTGAAGAATAAATACAGCCTAACAAGCATATAAAGCTGCACCTGATGTCTTTTGCTAACGATACGAATCTTTTATCAAAATAAAATCAGATGAAGATCGATGTCGAGATTTTGTCGAATAACCATGGGATAATCTAAACAACTCAATAAGAACATAACTTTCAGAATGAGATGGCGTCATTTTATCTCATTAGTTATGTGAAATCTCAATAGGTCAATCACTAAAAAGTTTAACTTTAAATTAGAAGTTTTTAAGATGTCAGTTGATGTTTTGATGCAAAGAAAGTTTGGAATAAAATTCAATCAAACTAGAAAAATGTTATCTATGGCAGTGCGAAGAATGTTATTAAATGAGTCAGCTGTGATTGGATACAATTAAAAGTGTGGTTAGTTAATCATGTGGAAAACTGTCTAAACAATGAATATGACATGGGTGAGATAAAGTACAGTCAAACTAAAAAATGCGGTTATAATAAAACAGTAGTTGGTACAAATGTGAGTGAGAATGAGCATATGATTTCGCAAATTCTGCTCTTATTGCATTGTTACAGTCTATCAGAGGGTATAAGCAAATGAAATGTGGGATAATTGTTTTCAACAATGACCTACAAATCTATACCCACATAATATCAATCCCGTAATCTGATATATGCTACATTTTTGGGTTGTATGACAGACTGACTGACTGTCTGTTGTTTCGATACTTTACTTTTCTGTGGCATTTCTGTGTATTCTCTTTTCTTATTACTTTATATGACGATTGATTGCATTTCCCCTGTTTCTACATCTTCATTTTGCTGCCTTTTATCTTGATGTGATGGTATGAGGCATGGCAACTTGAACCGTTGCACAGGAATACCAGGTCCCATTTTGATATTAACTAAGCGACTGCTTGGATGTTTCGCTGTTTTTATCTAAGTTTTTAGTATTTCACTGTTATCTCACATTACTGAGTATATGCGGTTGGAAATCAGTGTTTTTTGCAAAAGCTGCTGAGCTCAGGTCAGATACTTATCCAAAGAGGTATATACTGGTCATGAGATGATCAGCTCAAATTCTTGGAATCAGGTGTACAACTGGTTTTCATTTTCATATTGTTGGAGAAATATTTCATCTGACGAAATATACTCATTTATTCATGAATAAGAGCAAGACAGCGAAGAAATATTTCTTTTCAACGACTTCATCATCAAGCTGTACAGTCGTATTTATGATCGATAAAATTACAGATAATTGCACTACAATGTTGCTCAATCAATATACAGAATATGCAGTAGGTGTTGGTGGTGGTATTTATTCAAGTGGAAGAAATAGAAAATGGGTCACTGAATAAAGAACGAATTGATGTTAACTAGTGAAATATGGGTCAAATGCTGTCAATGAAGTGAAAACTGATGTTAGTAAAAGAGAAGTACACTACTGAAGTGAAATGAAATCGACAAAATAACCAAAATTAATTATTAAGGCCAAGGTCGAGAAAGTGGTTTCACAAAACGTTTTTGAATACAGAGTTTCGGTTTTTGTTCATGTATAGGTAATGCTTCAGTTATGCATAACTATCATAGACATGAAAGTATAAACACATAACCATAGCAAAGTAAAGCTCACCTTTAAGTAGTTCAGTAGTGTGGATAGTGAATTAACTACTATCAGGTTAGAAGTTTTAAATCTCTTCCGTTTATATATTTATCCATACGTACATATTTCATACTTTATGTGTTGTTGAGAAATGTGGCATCCTGAGTCAGTATACTGTTGTACAAATTTTGCACTGCTCAGTCACTTTGTCTACATGCCGTTGCATCTTTTCAAAGGATGTTTCAGAATAAGTTGTTTTTAGTAGTAGTGAACAGAAGAAACCAGGAAGTATTTATAAAAATAACATCAGCACTTGCTCAAGGTTCAGTATCACATTCACCAACTTTATTATGTGTTCTGTAGCGTTTCTGTTTATCTGATACTAAGTTAGCCATCATGAATTCGTGACCCAAAAGTTACAAGAATGCTATTCATGTTTACTCAACCCAAGACTCATGTCTAGGTTTTTACACTAGGTAGTGGGAGAGTTCACAGTACTACCACGTTGCCTAGGCTGAAGTAGTTGGAGGGGGGGGTTCCAAACCCGTGATCCACTATTTGAATGTTGAATATTAGGATCAGTGAACCACAGCTCTGTTTCAGAAGACATCCTGAATACTTACTTGTTTAGTATATTGACTCATCACACTCAAATGATAATACTCAAAGTGATTTATCAATAAAAGAACAGAAAAACTAGTCATTTGACTTTCTAGTAAAATAAAGGTTGTTTTTATCGATAAGCATGTGACAAAACTAACATGACTCATAGTTTTTTTTCAGTCAATCATCAGTGGTCAAAAACTATATTCTAAGAATATTAAATTTTCAGTGAATTCGGGTGTCATCGTTAGGCTACGTTTCCTGTTTTCGTCTAGGTAAAGTGAGGATCAACAGCGTTCAGTCGTAGAGTATTACAATCATCACATCTGTGAAGATGATTATCGACAGTTGTGTGATTAATGAAAATGTGAACTCTCGACCGGTACCTGCTATCCTGAAATGATGATCATGCTTGCATACTATTGACCCAACGAGCTGTAGTGGTAGAGTACTTATTCTCTTGAAGTCCTATCCCAGCAGAAGCGTCTTTTTCATAGTGGTAAGACAAAAAGCAGTTGCCTCCATAGCTTAGATTACTACGCTATAATGGGAGTCCAAGGACGATGTCGTATTGCCGACTGAACTGGGGTGCGATAGCAGTGAGTTGTTTCCTGTAGATGATCAACAATATCATTCTGATAATGCATCACCATTGGGAAAGGGTTTTTCGTGAGGATCACTTTCCTCCAAAAAATGACACTTCCACTTGCCCTACGGTCTTTTGGTGTAGGTGGTTGGGTGGGTTTCTAGTTGGATGCAGATCGATCGAGGCTAAACATGAGATTTCCCAGAAAACCGTGTATGATCGGCCTTAAGCAATTATCCCTTGGGTTCTGTGGTCATGGACCGCTACTGCCCAAGCAAATTCGTTTTCAGATACTTCAGGAAGAAGTGACCCTCTATGGTGTGTGGAGCCAGGAAGTGTCAACCGTCCTCACAACTCACCCAGCACTCAGGTTTCCTCAGAACATTACCAACTTCCCACATCATTGCTTCCTAATCTTTACTCACATCATTCAGTCAATATTCACACATCATATTTAATTTCTTTCAGCTCTGGAGCTATCCATTATGATTCGAATTTACGGAACTCCACCCTAGGTCTTCTGAAATCGTGCTCTTAGCTACACATGCCATCTTTCAGTGTTAGCAGTCTCTATCAAATTGAACAAATAACTCTAGCCAAAACTCTGGGATTTCAGACCACAGATGTGTTCGTAAGGCAGTCATACAGAACTCATGTGCCATTATTCACCAGTTGATGTTGTCGTAGCAGGTTATTTCGGCGCGCAAGTGGATAGACTAAGTCAAGCAGGAAGACACTTAGGTGACGCTTTCAGAATCCCAGCCAGACGAAGAGATAACGGCAACTGCCTACTACAAATGTAATCAGACAACCACCTATTTCTGGCCAGCTCGAACTTCAAACATAAAGAGAGACATTGTTTGATGTGGCGTCCATTGACCACCCTTACTGGTGAATACAGATAGACCATATTGGTATTAGTTGTCACTATAGAGACTCGGTGGAAGGTTACCACCCCTTCTGGAACGCATGTTTGAACAGTGATCACGCGTTGCTCTGAGTATATGTATGTCTACAAATAAAGGGACGGAAAGCGTCTACAGCAGCAATTCTGTAACCAGTGTGACTACTGAGACTGCCTTTAGCAATGAATCTGTCATACAGTTAACAAAACAGGGCATTTTCACTCATCTTAAAAAGCCTAACTTTGTCCTTAATTACTTGCAAAAACAGCGTTGAAAACATAACAAGCTATCGGAAAGACATTAGAAAGGGTAATTGAATCTCAGCAGCTTCTGAATTAATTGATGTTGGTGAACGTATTCCTGCAGGTTTCGAACACAGTGAGGAACAGAAGAAAATTAAATGCCGACTGACGAGAAGTCTACACAATTATCGTTAGCAGTAGTGCGTAGCAATGATTGAAGAGTTTGGAAAAGCAGTGGTGATAGGTGACAGTAGACAGCTATTTAGATTCACCGAGGAAATCGGGGCGGAACGCCTCGAGGAACAACCCAACTGACTACCATTTTGTTACCCGTTACCCGTTTGGATCCTGAATTGTATATTGGGAGAGGGTCTCCAACTTTGTGGAAGTTGAAAAGTAAGTTATGTAAAATGAGGAGGGGCAGTAGAGCAAGGCGATCTAGTGCCGGAGATATTTCAAGTCAATGATCGTGGATTATCGGTCAGTTTATCTGAAGTGCTACCTAGCGCTTAAGAATCAGATATAACCCTGTTTGACTGATGCGTCACTGATTATCTCAGTATGAGATGGCCGGGAAATTTGTTGTGCATACCTAGTGACCATTTGACCTGTCGTACAGTGTTAACTGATGTAATTTGAGGCTGTAAAAAGTTAGAGAAGGCCAGACTAAAATGTGGTATCATTGCATTAAGTCTTTGACCATCGATCTGGGCCGTGTAGGGAAACGCGAACTTCCAGGTTGGGGTTAGCAAGACAACGGAAACCAGTGGTTGAAGATTCAAGGTGTTATGGCTCGGAATTGATCTCACTTGCTCAGATGTATCGTCATAATACCTCTGTCTTATTCATCAAACTGAATTCCAATATTCTCTCATTCTTCCTCGCCTTTTTTCGATGACTCTCCACCACTTTTGACGACTTTCTTTATTTTCCACCTTAGTGCATTCTCGCTCTATGCGCTGGTGTACGGTGTGGCAACTTAGACCTTTATTCAGCAATGTTTAGTCCAATGTTGATATTGACTAACTGTGAATTATTCAGTCTTTCCGACACTACGTAGATACGTTAATCTTAGTTCAGATATTGTTTTGTTTTCCTGTTAAAAAATATACTGAAATTTTGGCATGTAGTCACTGGGCAAACAGTATTATTCTTTAAGCTGATTAAGGTGTTACCTGATATATGGCAGTCAGGCATGTTACCTTGTTGTTGGTTTGAGTTACTGGTTGTTTTAGTCTCATAGAAAATAAGGAAATCCTGTTTGGTATAACAGAGGATTTTGGTCGGCTAGCAAACTAAGATTTTAGGTTTTATGCTCATCTGGCCTGTCACTATATTTCGGGAACAGCAACTCGAAAAATTCAGGTGAGTTTCAAACCTTAGTGTGACTGTTTCTACCAAAGTGAGACTGTGGCTCATCCATTAGGGCAATTGACTTCCACCTAGGTTATGGTCTAGAACCCTTGTCCATCCAACTAGGTGTATGTAGTTACGTAGTGTCAATCCTGAATTGCTGATTGAGTTCTTGCGTGTTATTTTTGTTTACTGTTTTGACACATTATTACTCTTTACACTTAAAACATACTTAATTTGTAAGGTATCGTATTCAACCTTATGCTGGTGTGAAATTGCATTCTGCTTCTATTTCTGATTCTTATCATTACCAAAAAAGAAAATGAACAAACTATCTGGAAGTTCCACTTTACCTGTGTTCAGTGTAACGTACCATTCAGTAATGGTTAATAAGGTTACTCCGTATGCTGTGAACCACTTCGGTTGCTTATAGATAGACTAAGAACAATTTTAACACCATGGCACAACAACTAAGATCCTAGTGCATAACTATTAACCTCAGCAAGGGAAAGAAAAATGCCTCCTGCATCGGTTTTTTTTAATTTTTCCCCATTGGAATCTATTTATCCAAAGTATATACCTGACTGATGGCTGTAAGATCTATATTATGGTCACTAGATAAGTTTCATAGTCTGCCGATGATGCAATCATTTTCTGACGAAATTACTTTTGTTTATTCTGTTCACTTTCAACAAATCATGTTTGAAATATATCTAGAAGGTATCATTTCCCCTTTAATTTAGATGAATAAGTCAGCAGTCCTTCGCCGCGCAATCGATCGGATTCGTGAACTTGAAGAAGTCAACGCTCAATTAAATTCAGAGTTAATGGCTTTCCGTTCATGTAATCATACTTCATCTTATGTTGATTCTAATCGTAAGCGAGTTGTGATTTTATTAAGGTGTCACCATATAATTATGTTACTTTTTTGACAAGTAATCTTTGGGAGGTAGTATTAATCACGGACTGAAATCAGTTGGGGAACCATTGAAAACCTGCGTGCACTAGACAGCTATTTCATCTTATTATGGGACTCCTCAACAGTTCACACCCATGGCCCCGACACGGATCAAAAAATTATTGTTATTAGTTTATCAGATGAAGTTGACTTCGTAACTGTAAAGTTTTGCTTCAACAGATACTTAAGTAGAGTCTTGATGAAGTTGTAAACCTTCATCGATAGAAGTTGCTGGTACATATACTAATAATGTTCATTTACAGTCTACTCCTTCGTGCAATGTTATCTGCAGTAGCATTTGCTTAGAAAACCGTCACGGGTAGCCAAACTAAAACTTGGCATCAATTCATAAATTTTACGACTGTTGATCTCAGCCGTTTTGAGAAATGTACATTTCCAGGTTGGGTTCCGTAAGATTGCTTTAACCGGTGGTGAGATGCTGCATGTAATGGGCTCAAAATTAAACACAGTTTTACAGATGCATTGATGTGCCATCACTTCTTTGCCTTTGGTTTATCTACCCTTCCTTTTGTTTGATGGATTGTTATGAATTTGAATAGCATTACTTGTCTTTCTTTGTCTTTCGTTGTATTATCTTCAATCTTGCTGTGATATGAATTACAGCAGCTTAGATCTTTGTAGGTCTAACTTTGATAAAATGTATCTCACTACCATGAAATCAACTATTAGAAAAAGTAAATCTGCCATCTGTTGAACTTTTAAGTCCGGTTTCGTGTGTTCTGAACGGACATAACTTTCGATGATTGGATTTAAGTCATTAAGGACTATTGAATTAAAAAAATTAACAGGAGACTGTTCAGCGAATAGAATTTTCTTTTCAACGGATCATTTTTCTGGTGTGCACTGGTATTTTTTTGAGTTACAAGAAGAAAATATGTCTATCAATGACTGAATGGTCTTTTCTAGAAGGTGTTAGTAAATCGCTTCTAGAATTAAAAGGATATCAAATATTAATCTACAACTTAAATAACTGGTAAGAAAAGTGGGACAGTCATATTGGAATTCACAGTGGTAGAGTAAGAAAAAGAGGATGAAATTGATAATATTGATAAATAAGACGAAAGAAGTTATCGGAAAGTTGTGACCAAGGTGAACTTGGAGACTTAACATATCTCTTTTGAACACAGAGATCAGGCTTAAACTGGTGAATTGCTAAGGTTTCTGCTATGTTCAGGTGGTAAATCTTCACTCCCTTCAAAATGTTCAACTTGAATTTAAGATGTCTTCGAAGGAATATTCTGGTGAAGAAGAGTTAATTAGATGTTCAAGATCGGGTTGTTAATCACTTTTCACTCTCATTTATGCAGTCATGCAGGGTAGTTTGCGGAACTACATCTTGATGGAACACGCTTTGCTCGGCCTATGGATATATGCATAGAAGTAGCTCAAATCAATAGTTTGTTCTTCACACACCCTGAAACCGGTTGTTGATTTGAAACGATAATCCGAAGTTACACAGTAAAGATTTTTCTCAGTGCTTTGCACAATCGATTTGTTGGTATCTTTTTGATTGTATCTCCTTTAAATCCAATATTCATAAGTAGTATCTTCTTTGAGACCGTAGGGATTCGTTCATGGAATTGTTTTGCCTTAATGTTCCAAGTTTTGTCAACTCTCGACATAGGGTCACCATCATACATTACCATAGAATGTGAAGACGAATACACGCTGATGGCATTTCAGGATTCTGGATCTATGTCATGGATTGAAAGAAGTTGAAAAACGTGAATTCTTTGACTTCACCCTTGTAACCGGATGGTAATCTGTCCCCTGCGTGACCTTAACTGTCCTGGCTTCATTTCCACATAAAGTCATGGATGCGCTCTGCTCAAGTTCAAAGCTGTAACGAGATAAGTTTTCATTACTCTCAGGTTTCTAGTTGCTGATGGAAATCCGTTTCCCGTCAAACAATTCTGCACAGGCCTGTGGGAATAAAAAGTAACTTAAATATGATGGTATGAAAATCTACTGTAGTTATGTATCTGTGAGAAATATATTATAGTCATTCCTTTTTTTATTTCTTGTTTATTCAGTGAGCTAATCATACTCATTTATTCTGTTAATTGGTCATAACTGCTGTTTTGTTTCCTATGCACGCACTGGTCTGCTAAGAGGTGGAGTATGCCGAATTCCGCAGTTTCGGCCTTAATGGTTTGTATTCCTCTCCGTCTCATAACCCAACATCATAGAGCCTCCTACTAGAAGATGTTTTTTTCATTACCTTTACATAGTAGAATAGGACTTTTCAATGCATGTGCAATAATAAAACAATTGACTGTTGATGAACTAACTAAGTGGACTCTCATTGTCTCTTGTGAAAGCATTTCTCAGCATATGTGATTCATATCAAAAATAGATTATTTATGTAGAATAGTGTAAACCATTGTAACATCTAAAAATGTGTTTCATGCATGGCTCCAACGTATATTTAATTGACTCACTAATCTTTGGGTAGCTATAGTCACATTCTATGCCTGTAAAACCCCATATATTTGATTTGAGGATGCTCAATTACCATTATTCTGTTTGAAACATCTCATAATGTCCATACTATCAGGTTTTTGTATTTTCGGTTAAACAAGTAAATCACTATAAATGTTTTATTTAGACTAGAAAGTATTGGCTTTAAAAATCTCAAAGTTAATCAATGTTACATCCAGAAAATTAAGACTTTCTGTCTTTGAAATTTCTGTTTTGTTTTACAGAAAGCACATCAGAAAATGAAACACATTCGCTTGAAACATCACCAGTGTCTTTAACTAATCAAGAGATAAATGATTATTATTATCGGTGTAAAACATCTCCACATACTGTGCCTCCTGAATGCTTACCAGTGAATCAGCTATTTCACTTCACTGCTAAATCTATTCAGCCTACAAATGTAACCTATAAGACGAATACTAATGATCATCATCATCATAATAATAATAAAGGAGTTGTATTCATGAAAATGAAAGAATATTCAGATTCCTTCCATTCATCTTCATCATCACCGTCGTCATCATCGCCACCATCAATAAATTCACCGTTTAACTTTCAATCAAGTTATGATAAAAAGTTTAACGCTAATTCACAACATTCATCTCTATCACCTCCATTCAGTGGAATCGGTTCATCATTTCTCTTGCATCAGAATACAGATTCTTATGAAATTGTCAATGGTATGAATTATGAAGGTCAGCTGCAGACTTATCATTTATCGTCACACTCATTGGTGCAATCACCGAATATTCAAGCTTCTTATCGACTACCACCACCACCACCACTAATTCCTACGCCGCACTCCACTATTATTCTGCCTGAACAACCTGTTTTGATCAAAGGTGGTTACTATCATAAAGGTCATCGAAAACGCTTAGGTTTGTTTTTCTGTGCGTCAGTTTTCTTAACAAGTACTGATTATTAGTAATACTTTTTAATGCAGTTATATATATATATATATATATATATATATATATATATATATATATATTCTGCAGTTCACTGGCTTCAAGAATGCTGGACTTAAAACCAGTCAGTCACAAGTCTCAGTTCCACTCCATCTACTGACATCTGGACAATTAAGCAATAGACATGACTTGGGGTCTTGTACCTTTTCGTAATTATTTCATCACATCATTTTAAGTCTTGTTATAAAAGCTTGAAGACGAAATAGAATTCAATTCTTGATTGGATCCTGGGTTCAAATAGAAGTCGCTCGATTCTACCGGGACCATTAGGTAATATCGTCAGTTATCACGTGTTTAGTGTGTTTCATGACTGGTCAAAGCTGAACATGTCTTTGTATATTCTCACAATACCTCAGAGGTGGCAAGATTATTTTACTAATATTTAGGAATGATGTAGTTATACACTACATGAAGGTAACTTCTAGTCGCAGCAACCTCTATCGAATATAAAAATATAGTAAAGAAGTGTTTCCGTAATCTTTTATCGTCACTGTGCACCTTAATTGATGCCCTTTTACTATTATTTCATCTTCCTATGTGTGAGAAACGTACTGAGATCAAAAATATCGGAAGACACTGGAACCCCTCGAGTTGTCTTTGTTTTCTGAATTGAAAGAAGTCAAATCAATAGGGATGAAGAAGAGGTAAGCAGGAAGAAGATATAAAGTGTTTCATTTTTTAGAGGATAAAAAGCAAGTGAATATTCCCTTACCAGTTCACTCAAAAACTGGCCCACTTCCCCTTTCAGGTACCTCATGGAGTCGTCAACTTCTTCAGTATAGGTAGCCGGGAAGCATTAACTTCCCACATGCTTCCAGCAACATGCAAAAGTATACCTTCCTTACCTTTTTCTCCCCACTTGCCTGTGCTTTCTTTTCTTGTCACTAATACTAGGCTTCTTATTTGAGCAAAGTTTTACGAATCGTTAGTGGTTTCGTTGGTCAGTCACCTTTATATTGGTGGATTTGTGAATTAAAAAAAAATAATTGATTGATTTGTCTGGCCATAAATAATCGGGTGTCATTCAACCGAAAAAACGTTTTGTTTTATACGCGTATTTATGTATTTGTCGGATGACATTTCTAGTTGCTGACCTAATATTACTGCCAGTTATTTTGTCTGGTGTAATTCTGAAGTATTCAATCAGGTATTTGCTTGGATGCAAGTAAATAAACTTTATTATAATCTTAAAAAACTTTCACATAGTAATGTATGCTTTGTACAATTTTCCTTCCCTAACTTAAGCTGAAGACTCTAATATGGAATTGTTTACTCCAACAAAGGCGCGATGTGACCATTTACTGGTTAATAATCGTGGCTGTGGGGTCAAGAGAGTAGCAGCCCCACAAACGAAGGAGGCAATGAACATAATTTCGGACACTTGGAATACCAACAACAGCGGTACTAGTATTCAAGCTCAATTTCCGAATGTTTGCCAACTGCTATGTGAAAGTAATTCATGTTCACATTCTCTCCCAAAGCCCATAAAAACCAGTATTTCTGATAAAAATCAGTGTATCCAACCTGGAGTCGGTTTCAATGAAGCTGTGGCTCGAACTACGTTGTGTGTTGCAGCCTTATGTCTCATTGCTCTTAATCCAGCTCAAATCACAAATCAAATGAGCTGGAGTACTCCAAAAAGTAAGTAATTTTTTCCATACACTAATTCTCAGCCTTTTATTCTCACTCTCAAGTGTGAGAAATGTGATCTGCAGAGCTAGACACATCTTTAGGTAAACATTCTACATGTCTATGGCACATGTGATTGTATACGTCAAAATGGGTGTAACAGGTGAGGATAAATTCAGCAAATAATAATGAAATTTCCATCATATGATCTACAAAGTAACAAATGAAAAGGGATCGAACTTGGATAAAGTTATATTTCCTAGCTTTGTTATCGAATGAGAATAGATTCTGTGAACCTATAACTCATGGTTAACATGTTTAGCCAATTTGACATCGAGCTGAAATGAGTGAGATTAATACATGAGATGAAGTATATAAATTGTGTAGGTATTAGGTGTTAGGAATCAATCAACAGAAAATCCTGGAGTTATCCATAAGGTGTATGTATGATATGATGCTCTCAAAGGCTTAAATCTTACACTGCACACTCATACGATAGACAATCAGGTACACTTATTTTTTGAAGGCTAATTATACTACCTGACCGCCCAAATATCGGTAGGTGGAACGGTGTTCGAACCCGTGATTCACTGATTGGAAGTCAACTACCTAAACCAATTAGCCATAGTTCCTTTTCGATAAGGCCTTTCTAATAAGACAGAGACAGATATTGGCAACCTTACGCTACTGTATGGTAGCCAGGCAGCCAGACCGCACATCAGCAGGAAGTAGCACGAAAAAAGACAAATAAACGAATTGACTTCGTTAATTACTAATCCGCAAATTGATTGCTTGTGAATACATTCCTAAAATGTGTATAAACTTTATTTTTTATATATTTTCTATTGAATCTAAATTTTCCTTTTTTTTATATCTCTTATTGTATTATTTCAATATACAACTTCTTATTCAGTGGAAAAGTTATCAACCTCCAGAAGTTTATTGTACTACTTTGATCCATCTGGTGCTATTGGCATGCCAAATTCATGGTTTATTTCATTTATGTATTGCTTGCAATGGTTTATTGCATTGATTCTCTGTTCTTGGGCTTGTCACAGAAAGCAGATTTCATTTCAGCTGTTTAATTGGTCAAGACATGGAAATAAAATTATCTCAGTGCATAAGGCTAAATCACACTACAGACAAGCTAATATGGCTATTAGTCAGGTAAGGCTTTATTTTCGTTATGTTTGAGACTCATTCATTGCTGTATTGCAGTGTTTATGCGTATGTGTACGGGTATATTGGATATTGTTCATCGCTGCCTAAATGGATACACTAATAACCTAGTAAAATCGTATAATGCCTATTCGATGAAAGCGTTATTATCTGTGAACACTATTCAAAGGGCTCTTTTATTTTTAATATTATTCTTACCTAAAAGTCTTCATTCCAATGTACCACTGATTAACATTGATCTGAAACAAATGAGAAGCAAATAGGAAGCCCTTTAGGTCCCCTCCTAGCCGACATATTCATGTCACACGTTGAGAACTTAGCCGAGAACTTAATAGACCAAGCCCATCTGTATCGAAGATATGTTGACGATATCCTGATTATTTGTGAAAACTCAAATCAGGCTACTTCAATTCTAAACCGACTGAACGAAGTACAGAACAGCATATCTTTGACATGTGTAAGAGAGGAAGATGACTGCTTGCCGTTCCTAGATATATTAATTAGTCGAAGGCAGGATGGATCCATAAAACGATCTATCTACAGAAAACCTACATGGACAGGGCAATATCTGAATTACCATAGCTTTTGCCCAGTTCAGTACAAGCGAACGTTAGTAAGGTGCCTATTCAGCAGAATTCAACGAATATGCACCGAGGATACTTTAGAAGATGAAAGAGGAACACTGACCGATATTTTGTTGGAAAATAACTATCCATCAACATTTATCAGGCAGAACAAAATCAGCAGAGCGTCAAAACTAGAACTGCAGTCAGTCCCAAAGAAGGATGTCTTCATCAGCCTTCCGTACAAAGGTGACTCTCAGAGTGCAATTCTTAAGCAGAGACTTAACGCTGCTGTTAGAAGGACTTACTATGCAGCCAGGGTTCGAGTAATCGAAACCACGAAGCCCTTATATTCCCCCAAACCCCCACAGCATGTGAACGATAATGTCACATCCCATTGTATCTACCAATTCAAATGTACGTGTGGTGACACATACATAGGGAGGACTAATAGATCCATGCAAGTAAGGGCCTCGGAACATATTCCAAAGTGGCTTCAGAAGCAAATTAAATCACCTGAACCTATAAATGTTGGTAGCAGACGTCCAAGTTCTTCGATCGCTAAACATATCGTTGAGACAGGTCACAAGATTGATGTGGCTACTTCCTTTACACCTATTTACAAAACATGTTGGGGAGGGATCCTGAAATTTGTTGAAGCCTTAGCTATTAGGAAGTTGAAACCACCTTTATGTATTCATAAACAATTTGTTGTCACATTAAACCTTCCTTGGTAAATTCAACTATTGAAAAACCAAGTTCGATGTACTATTATTTTTTCGCCCTATTGATTTTCATTGTTATTCGGCCTTTAAGTCAGCCTTCCTACCTGACCCCTTTTTATTTTCTCACCCCTTATCTTCATGAGTTTTTATATAAATACCTATGACAAGTACGTGTGTGATCAGATAGTTCGAAATGTGTTGCGCAAATACATTACACGGTTCAGACAATTTACGTCTTCTTATTGTTTTGTCGAAGTGAGTTCGTGTTGTAATTAGTCAGTTTGATCTGATTAAGGAAGCTTGCAGATCACCTTAATGAGTTTGTGACCACTCATTTTGTTCGGTACTATTTTCCCTAATTTGGACTAAAGATATGTATAAGCTTGAATCAACTCTGTGCAATACAAGCTAATATACTACTTTATGATCCACACTGGTTGTATAAGCGCCCTATCATACAACTGAGTTGCCTCAGGCAAAGCAAATGGAGAGAGATTTGAATCCGGAATCAATAAGTCATATTTCCATATAGTGATTTGTGTCTGTTGCATCAATTATTTATCAGTAAACATATCTAAATATCAGTAACTACCAATAAAATCTACTTAGTTTATTGATTAGTGAAGCTGCTATATTGTTAGATTCGCCTTGATAAACATTTCAAGTAATTAAATAAATTGGCGTTGAAGAGCCATAGAATGGAGATAGGAAGATGATCTTTGTAATCATGTCTCTTTATCGTTGACTTTTAGTTGCCTACGATTTATTTCACGATACATACCAATGACGTTTTGTAATTCACCTGCAAGTCCATGTGAGACTATCACACCGCTATTGCAGCCAGTAATTACGATCTCTATGGCAAAATGATTGACAGTTTGCTTCTGTTGTATTAGAAAGGTATACTGTTCTGGTTAATAAACTCACGGCAAAGTTTGAAAACTATTTAGCTTCTTTCAGTCGACTGTTCGTAGACTGCAAAATAGGCATCGTATGGTTACCGAACCTATAATTTTTAGATACTATATCATTCAAGTCAACTATTCTATCGCTATCACGAATTGATTTTTCGTCTTCCTTAAAGACTTAGACAATCAATGTTTGAGACCAGTTATGTCATAATCAATCCTGTGTCATTATCCTTAAATAATTATATCAGGATCTGTCGTTCTTCCTTATTTCAGGTTTTTTTTTTACAATATTGTTGCCTTATTAGTCTACATAAAGTTAGACCTTAGACTCATGAGTTCACGTTCCATTTCCGTATCAATTAAAGTGTGTTTATCATTCTGATAATCAGTTTATATAGTTTTAATTCATTTTTCCATTGTAATAATTGTCTAGTTTATCTCAAAATGTGCCATTTTGTTTACTATACAAATAGGTATAGTTGATTTTTACCATACTTTGAGGTCAAAAAATCTGTTCACAATGGTGTGATAAGCAATGAACAATGTAATAGATTATTAATATTTATATTATATATCTGACCCCTTTTCTATTGATTTCTTAATGATTTTTAGTTGACATGGTCAATTGCAGATTATCATCTAAAATTATGCTTACATTCACTTGGCAGTAGTACATATTGTGAATTAACTCAATCAGTGCATACAACATCACATATTCGATGCTGGTATCTGTGTTTACGATCAATAATTGCATCAATCATGAACCTACTTACTATATTGTTCATTTATTTACCATATTGGGTATGGATGTATTACTTTAGAAAATTCAATGGGTTTACTGTTAATACTAGTAAACAGGTGAACAGTACTACAGAACATAAAATTTCTTCACCTGAAGTTCGTCTACGTCTTATGGAACTATATTTATTTGGTTAGTGAAAGTATTGTTTATTTTATGAAATCATATTTACTTTTCAGTTTATTTAGTTTCTTAGGCCAATAAGGAAGTAGAAGAACAATCAGCTGATCAAAGGAGGTGTTAAATACTACTACTTATTGACTTTGATTTCGAAATTTTACCAGTTTTTTTACGTTACCTAGATTCTACGTATGCTGCATTAAATTGTGATAAATAGGAAGACAACTATTACATGATTCATATTCATTTTGTATCAATATTGAGTGCTTAGGCGATTTACTGTTTATATTAACGATTATAGGACCTCTAGAGATTACAGTAGGTGGTTAAATGTTACTCAGTCAGTTGAGCATTTGATAAGTAAATTAAAAGTTGATGTGTATTGGCTTGTAGGTATATTTTAATTTATGGAGCCGTGGCTCATTAGTCTGGTCACTCGACTTTCAACCTGTGTACCACGCGTTCGAACCTAACTCCACCTACCAAGGTCTGGGCAACCAGGGGGTATCATTAGCTCACTCAATAAATGTAGCTAGTTGCCTACTGCACTAACGTGTACATTTCAGTTTATTAATTTAAAAATAGTTTTCATCACAGATTGACACAAATTGGAGAACCATTGGAAACCTGGTAGCATTGAACAACTATTGCTTCCTAATTTGAGACTTCTCAGTAGTGAACACTCATGACCCCACAAAGCATGAAGCCCACAACCGTCATACCTCATGGGTGAGCTTAACCAAGCAGCAATTGAGTTAGAATCTATTGATGAGTTAGCTCTTACTTCTCAAAATTCTAGTGGAAAGTTGTTACCTGTAGGATCAAACAAGTCAAGAGTGGGGTAGATGCCCACCAATGGGATTGGAAGATAGTTAGGCTATATAGCGACTGAAGCAAGAGTTGACTAATTATCGGTCCCAGTGACCGAGTGACTGGTAACGCGCTCGCAGTGAGACCTTATGGTTCTCAACTCGATCCATGGAACAATCATGAGTGCGCAAGTTTGAGAAGTCTTAAACTACGATATAATAGTTGTCCATTCTTTACAGTTCTTCATTGATGCTTTAATTAATATGAATCCGTGGTTACAACTGCGTTGAAATTGAAAGTTATTTGTTTGAAGTTCATTGTAATTCAAGCTTTCTTTTGAACTCAATTTTCATGCTTTTGTATACAAACTTTATGTCTGCCTATATGTTGTGATTATTTAATAGGTGGGTTTTTTTTTAACTTAGCATCAGTTATATTCCGCTCATTTTTCATGATAGTTAATTTGCTTATAAGTACACTTCGTAATGAATAGATATGTTTACTGTCTTTGGAAACAACGAGAAAGATGCGATATTCTACACTGTCTTGTGGTCGGAAGGATGTGAAGCTTAACTTATTGACTCGAGTCATAAGCTTTCAACCAATGGGTTATGGATTTGAATTCTGATCCATCTACCAAGATTTTAGCATGCCTAGCTCCTTGTGTAATATATCAGCCAATAGGAAGAAGATATATATTTGTAGTTTTCAAGCTATTTTTCGAGTAATAGAATGACTCAGTTGGTGGAGCTCTCTGTGCAACCTACAATTCGCACACCTGTAGTATTATCTAAAGAAAAAATAACTCTCAAGGTTGTGTTTTGGTATACAGAGCAGCTACATAGCGATTATTGTACTAGTAATTTTTTACTAGGGTCTTAGTTTGTCTTATTCTCATCCAAATCATCATCATCATCATCGGTATAGGACCAGGCATTACTGCGTAATGGTCCGAGTTGCCACAGCGCATATCAATACATCAAGTAAAAAGGCAGTGAGGTGCAAGATAAAGATAAGAAAATTTAGTCAAAAGAAATATAAAGTACGAAAAGAGAGAATGGATGAATGAGAAAATGGTGAGATTCGGTATAGCGTCGTTAAGATGACGATGATGTGTGTATATACATCTGCGCCACTGACATCGCTTCTGAGCCATATCATCTAGAGTCTCCAACCACTGGTTTCTCATGTCTCGCAGACCCCAACCGACTAGTCTGCATCGCTCTACATGGCTCAACACAACAGTCAAAGACTTCATACGTTGGTGCTATGTTTTAGTCTGGTCACCTCGGGCCCTTTTCAAGCCTGGACCTACTTCGGCCAACATTATGTGACGAGGCATATTATCATCCATCTCCCATCCATCCATCTCATGTAACCTGAATATCATCCAAAACTTCTCACTTATTAGATATTCAAGCTACATGAGTAAACAAATATGTCGACTTCGTCAGTGAAAGCGATAGGATACTTTTTTCGCTCACTGTAAAATTGGTTTTTTGAAATATTTAAGACTATAACCACGCTGAAAAACGGAAACAAATCAAAGTGTAAATTCACTAGGAGTCTTTGCAGTGATCGCAAGCAGTGGTGGCTCAGGAAAGCGAACGTTATCCAGATGATATCAACATCAAGTTATACTTGGCAGTTACTCAGCAAGATGATAGTTGATGAGACCGTCATCGAAAAGGTTTGGCCCGTAATTATCTCTCAGGATAGGTGACTAGAACGTGGGGTGGAACACTGGAGCACAGTTCAACTGGTCTATGGTAACGCTTCAGTTGCCTACCATCCAACCCGGAACTGAGTGGGTTGTAGATGTTGGTCCTCCAACTCTCATCGAAGTTAAGAAGGCTACTTGAAACACGAAGTGATTTATTGATGTGATTATGAGCAATAATTTATGCTCGAAACGTCATCAAGTAAATAATACTAGATCACTGTGTGTTATAAATCAAATAAACAAATCTAATATGGAATTAATTGCTACCACATTGCCTAAGTTTTACACCTACATTGCAGCAGAACCTAACGGTTTGGCAATGGAATCTTTGAGGAAGGATATAGAAAACTACTGAGTTAACTAAAGAAGATATTAGATGATGTTTTTTTCGGAATCAGGGGTTCCATCAGACTGGTTTACATCACCGATCATCCCAGTTTATAAGGAAGGAGAAAATTCTTCTTGTAACAACCACAAGGAAATCAGTTTGACTAACATTGAATTTGAAATCCTAGGGTCCATAATTACCTGATGCCAAGCTGAATCTCGAGACAGGTTTAGACCATGTTAGATTAGTCAGATCTTCACCCTTCGACAGGTCATGAAACACAGGCATAAATGCTGGGAGCCAACACGTGCATTGGACTTCGCAGATCGACAGGTATCATGGCAATGTTTGACTTAGAAGGGAGACAAAGCCAGTACATTAGGCTAACCAAGGATCACCACTCGGAGTCACAGCCGTGTAAGGGCTTATAGGTAGTTGCCATCCGAATTGATGATAACCAGTGGTGTCCACCAGGAACGCTTGCTGCCGCCATTCTTGTTTATCTTCGTAATCGAATTACCAATGGACATAACTTCTAGGTACTTCTGGCTGTACAGGGATCTACTTACTCCTGTGAGGGCACTTGGTTGAATTGGAGTGTGTAGATGACATTTTCCTGTTAGGCAAAGATCCTAACAAAATGCAGTCGTATGAGTATGTGTGATATGCGCTCCTTCACCTGCCACATGTAAGATGCTTCAGCACTGGTCTGCAGATACTCCCTGTTTCACTATAAGGAGAGAATTGGTTGAATACGTCAACCACTTCAATTACTTAAGGAGTCACATCAACCCTAAAAGGTCAATTGTTGACGAAATCTCTACTTGGAAACGAAAGGCCCGTTCTGCACTTGCCACCTGGTGTCATCTCTGGCGCCAGTGTGATATCCGGCTACCCACTGAGGGATAGGTAACCTACACTACAGTTCTCTCTGTCCTATTATACGGCTGAGAGACATGGCAGTTGAACGTAGATAGGAAGCGCTTACAGGCTTTTGACCACAGGTGTCTTCTCAGCAATACTAGTGCATGGTGGAATCACCGTGTGAGCGATGTTGAGGTTAAGTGAAAGGTACTGGACAAGAATGGAAAGTTAGTCGATAAGCTTATGAACTTTTAGCGACTGATGTGGCTTTGGCATGTGTTACTCATTCTGAGGAATAAATTGGAAGACGGCTCAGAGTATCGAGATCAGTCCGTGACATCAATCCATGAAGTTTCTGACGTTTTTCTGAGTAATATATGGAAGCGTAAACAGACTGGTTGGAGTCCTGGAGATGGTAAGAATCAATGTTTGAGAACCCTTGGTGACAGGGTCGAAAATCGGTCTCAATGGTGCAGGTATATTTACCCCCTGATGTCTTCTAAAACTTGAAGACTTCTACTAACCTTCATTTTTCTACTCTTTTCTCTCCTGCTATGCACTTATTTACTTTGATATCACTCTTTTAATACTCGCTAGATCTTCGCATACTGTTGTGAAGGGTGACAACTTGAACTGATACACTTGTGTACAAGGTTCTACATTGATTTCATCTGTCTGTTTACCTTTAACCAAAGTTCAGATGTATGATACATTTAGTTATTGTTTTTTCGTGGTTACTTTTTAATACCACACTGATTGTTGTTCTATAAACTTCATACCAAATTATGCTATTTAATTGTTGAACTTAACCAGGTTACTTGTTCTCAGTGTTTTAGGTTTCCTTTTTAATGTAATAATGTGTACTGTATATGTTTCATTGGCATAATCAGTTAAAATGTAATCACTGGGTCTAACTTCCGAACCTCGCCTTATATATTACAACCCACCTAATAGATATAGTTCCGTACATGAATCTGTACACAGCTGATGGGTTGCTGGGTATGCATGAGTTGCTAAACTCCCTGAGTTACATCGTCAAGTTGCATGGCTGTACACCGAGTTGTTCGGCGATGTAGAGGGGTGATGTTTTGTTAACCAATGATACGGTTATTCAACTCAAGGATCACCTTAACTTGAATGGAGTGATACGTTGTTATCAAATATTCGTTGCTTTATGTTAAATATCTTGTTTATCGTTCGCAATAAACTGAAAAACATTGAAATTCTTACTTCACAGAGCAATTATATTTATGATTTTCTTCTTTTACTGTATTCCACTTGTAGATTATAAACCGAAAAATGTCAATCCATATAATTCTAGACTTGTAAAATTTTTCCAATCACTGGATGATTTATCCTTGGGTTTAATGTGTACTCGTGATTTTCTTGATGCATCCACGCATGGATTATGTGACTATAAGATGATTGAACCTGTTGGAAGCGTGTCAACATCGGAATATAATTTTGTTGATAATAATGATAAGTTGTTTATACATCTTTTACCCAGACAAGGTATCACACTCGGATTATTTTTGAAACGAAAACTTGGAATGGATTATCTTGGTGTAAGTTTATTTTTTTCTTTTGTTGGTAAGGAAAACTAAAATCTAAGATCATCTGTGTCTCGCTTAGTATTTCCTAGTTCGCTGTATTTTAAACTTTTCATATTTTCCTTGACTAAAGAAACTGCATACTGGATTGGTTTTAATATGCCAATCTAAGTCATATGGTCCAAACACACTATTTAATGCACTCAGCAATCTCTTGCAGGTTTGTAAAGTAAGCAATGAACCACACTTATTGTGTGATGGTTAATGATACTACCTGGCTACCCAAGCCTCTGTAGGTGGGACTGTCTTCAAACTTGTGACTTACTGACTGAAATCCGTTTATCGGAACCAATGAGCGACAACTCCATGCTAGCAAACTAAAGTGGGAGTATTTTAGATGCCGTTTTAAACTTGCTGAATGTGGAATTGAGACTCATTGGTCTCAGCAGTTAACTTCTAACCAACTGGCTGCAGGTTCAAATCCCGCTCTGCCTACTGAGGTTTACGTAGCCAGGTGGTTTCATCTACTCTCACATAAAAGGTGTGACTTATTGTGTAGTTCACAAGACCATACATAGTTGCTGAGTGTGGATATGAAATACTGTGCAAGTCAAACATTTGACGGATGATCCTTTGAGATAATCATTGGCATGATGTGATGATGTAACGTTTCTGTGAAGATTTCGAAACACTTATCTAACTTATTACTTACCAATTCGTCAAAGCGTGAACTATGGCACATTCCTTGGTGTTCATATTGTGTTTAAAATAATAATAGCAATGTGTATCTGCAGGTTTACGTGTTTTTGTAGGGTTAACTATGTTGACTGTACGAAGCATACTGTCCTCAAACGTGCTTTAAAATATCATTCTGTTTGGTTGTCCGAAAGAGAGTACAAATCAATGAATAAATGGGTGCTTGAACACCTTATTTGTTCTGGTTACATGGCAATACCAAAGTCACCTTTTAAGGTTGCCTACTAAGTCAAAACAAGCAGTTCAAAAAGTGCGTGATGAAGGCGCTGGTAATTCAAATATGATCTTTACTTACAGAGAAAAATACCTGATGTTACGTGGTTAGGAACAATCTTTAGAATCCCGTGATCCTTCTGCAACATCAAGAATGGTGACGTTGGTCTGGATTCAAAATCACATCACTTAGTTCTGCCGCCAGAGATATTATCATTGAGTTATTCTATCCACGATTAACCTCCTCTAGAACCGAGTGGTATATATTGATTAGTCGTTGGAGAGTATAGCAATTTCATTTTGCCTAGTTTTCATTTCAGATCGTTTAAAATGTATCGTTTCACCCGCAGCTGCAGATACGCCTTTCTGGTGAGAACTACCGAGCCCGGCACCTAGGTCTAAGGTTTCCTACTGATTATTTTCAACCACCTAACATTAAATAAAGTTAACTATGATGACGAATCTCTTAGCTTGGCAACCATATTGCAAATTGAACGCCAGAATCGTGTCAGCACTTAAGACTGGAGAATATAAAATCGGTTTCTCGCCAGTGATTAGTCTCTGTTCAAACATCTATCCATTTCTGGACATCACGAACTTCATATTTGAAGAGGGACATTGTGTAACTTGGCGTTCACCGACCTCAACTCAGCGTTGGACATAGATTACCAACTATCACTGGAAAGGGTCAGGGGAAGATTGCGTCCCCTTCTAGAACACATATTTAGACAGTAGTCATGTGTTGGTTCGAGCAAACGTGTGTGTGCGTAAATGGGTTTAGAAAGACTTCCGCGACAGTACTATTCCCAGTGCAGCTCGATGATAATATTAGAGCTACAGCCCATAATGAAGCGGCTCGTAAAGACTGTGACTGTAGGTAACATTAGACAGCTATTTCGAATGACCATGGTAACTGAGGTAAAACACTTCGAGGAACGGTTCAGCTGACCGCCAGTTATCCTTCAGCTACTCGCTATGCATTCAGATCCTGCATATAACGTTTAGATAGAGCCTCCTGTTGAAGCTAAAAAGTCTGTTAGTAAACTGAAACGAGGAAGAGAAACAAGTTCATGTGAGATAGTATCAGACATATTTAAGGAGAGTGGTCGTGGATTATTGGTGAAGTTAACTGGAGTATTAGGTAGCGTATATGTTCCTGATATAATCCTCTTTGACCGGTCTCAATCACTGATTGTCCTTTTTCTGGTATGTGATTGTTAAACATGTGTAGTAAAGGTGGAGGATATGAGAAGGCTTCTAGTGTTCTGCCACCATTGTCTTTCATCATCACCTTACAGGTTTTCACACATGCTTTTTCCTTTGTACTTTTTCTTTCCTGTTGTATCGTATCGTATTATTAATAGTTCCGACTTTTATTCAATAATCAGTTGTTACTTGTTTCCAATGCTTGTAAGCGCAATGGCAGTTTCAATAAATAATTTCTAAGCGAGAAACTTTTCACGTAATTTTCGTCTCTCCTTCTTATGATTTAGCGGACGTTTTTCATCATTTAACAGTAATAATGATAATGTGGTAAAAAGCGTGACAAAAATATACCATGAATTAATTACTTTTGATGTCCGCATCACCTCTGCATATTCTGACGGAATTAATTAAATGATCTTCAGAAGATTGCACCTTTGCAAAGTTCATGACAGAAAGAGTTAGTTCAACTCAACATATCTTAACTAAGTTAAATAGAAATGGAATGAGTATTGCTAATGAGAAGTATTCAATGTAACTCCTGTACTGGATCACTGATAGTAAGCTTAGTTGTGGCTTGGATGTTCAAGGAAAGAGCCTTCAGTAATGTATTCTTACTGTCATCTACAGTAAGAGATACTTCCATACTACTCATCTATCGCTCCAAAATCAAGATGGGAAACTATAGTCAAGTGTTGGAAAATATGTTTTTTTTTCCTCTACGGTTTAGTAAGTTTTGAAGATATATCTAACCACTGTATCCACAATCAGAATTGTATGAGTGACACATGATACGTGAATATTTCCTCCTTTTATACGCTAGGTATTTTTATTGTATATCGACAAATGTTCATTGAAGCTTTTTTCCATATTTTGTTCTACACTTACATGTTTTTTTAAAAATAATTTTCACGTTTCTTTCCTTAACAATTTATCCGCTTAGTCATTGATTATTCGCATGACAATTTATGTTACTATGCGATTTGATTTGTCACAATTGTGGAGAACTTGGTTCAGTAATGTGTTATTTGTTAAACTAATAACTGGTGATGAAAAGTTGAATTTCGGTGCTGCATTGTCATCGACCACCACAACAACCAGTAGTATGCGTGAGTATTCGTCAACAAAAGATGCATCACTAGTAAATTATCCTGAAAAGAATATAATCACTCAGTTGTTAATTGAATTACGAGAGCATATTACTTGTCATTGTTTGAAGGTACGTAGTTGCTTTTTTTTGTGTGTGTGTTTTCTCATCTATAGCCTTGATTATTTCCTGATACAAAAAATGTCAGTCATTACTTAATCGAATTATCGTTCGATTTATACACACAACTCTGGGCCCACTGAATCCCATATACACTGGAATCAAATTAGATCACACAGTTGGTTTTTATGACTGACTTTTACAAAGATGTAGTTCAGTGTTTCTGGAGCTTTGGAAATCTTTTATAGCTCATGGGGTTCTCAGCAACAACATACAGTTTCACTCAACACCCGATATTGTGCCACACCTTTTGTGTCATAGCTAGGCATTCTGTTCAGCAACGGAACCTTGATATGTTCAGTGAGCTTCGAATTTTTGACCCACGGGTTGAAATTCCGCTACCAAAATCAGTGGATTACATATCTAAATGTAATCTGTTCATGGTGTGAAAAAAGAAAACCCTTTAGGTAGTAGAATACTCATTCCTAACACGTTTCTAGTTTCAGAATTAGATGAGTTGTGATAATATTTATGGTCACTGCTGGAATTTTTAAGAATACCTTAATAATTACTTTTAAAATTGAGATTCAAAGTAGTTGATCTGGAGTTTCATTCAATTAAGATGTGTATTTTTCGATCGTAAGTTTATTTAGTATCCGTAAAAAGATAATGGGTTGAGAGTTGTATGAGTTTCCTATTGAGGCTGATTTGTTACTTCACTAAAACTCATCAAATGAATATTCAGCACACTTAACTGATTGTCACTTCGCCTTAAATAATGTCTCCGTTTATGTCATATGTGTATGGGCTACCTTGTCAAACTCCCAAAGAAGGGCGACCGAAGTCTTTGCAAGAACTGGCGCAGAATCATGCTCCTGTCCACCTCAAGCAAAATATTAAGCCACATCATCCTGGAGAGACTAAAGGATGCACTGGATTCAAAACTATGACCGGAACAGGCTGGATTCAGGAAGTACAAATCATGTGTGGACCAAATTGCAACGCTACACATCATAGAACAGAATATAGAATTGCAGTCAACTCGCTACCTTACCTCAACTTCATCGACTTTGAAAAGGCCTTCTACAGCGTCGATCGAGAAGTAATTTTGCAACTGCTTCAACACTACGGAATACCACAAACCTTTATCAAGCTCATTCAACAGCAGCGATATGTTATATGGTGCTACATGTCAAATGATTCACAATGGAAAGCTCAGTGACGCCTTTGAAGTGAAGACAGGAGTGAAACAAGACTGCCTACTATCACTGATGATCTTCCTGATTGTGGTCGACTGGATCATGCAGCAAACCGTGAGGAGCAAGAAGAAGTGGATACTCTGGCTGGACCGCGGAAAAGATCCTAGAAGATTTGGATTTCGCCGATGATGACTTGTGTCTAGTGTCACACAAACTCGACGATGTACAGGTGAAAACTAACATGTTGACAGAAGAATCAAGGCAGCAAAGGAAGACGGGACTTCAAGTGGGCGTAGATAAGACAGAGGTGATGAAGATATCCAACCAACACCACCACCACCAACAAGCTCCAACCGCCATCTACGGGAGAAACTTAAAAGAAGTAGCCTCTTTCATCTATCTAGATAGCATCGTTTCAACTACAAGCGCTGGTGGCTCAGATGAGGATGTCAAAGCCAGTATCGAAAAAGCAAGACAGGCGTTCATTAGCCTGAAACCAGTGTGGAGATCTTCTGCACTCAGCATGTAGAACAAGATCCGAATTTCTAACACTAATGTCAAGTCAGTGCTTCTATATGGTTCAGAAACTTGGCGTGTCACGAAAGGGATTTCCAACAAACTACAGATATTCATCAACAACTGCCTACGCTCGTTACTGAACACCAGATGGATGGTCAGAAAGAATAAGCAACAAGGAATGTTAGCCTGTCAACGAACCAACCAAGAACCTATCAGTCAACAAATATGCAGAAGGAAGTGGAGATGAATTGGGCATACACTGAGAAGACCATTCAGGGACATCACGCTCCAGGCACTCGAGTGAAACCCAGATGGGAAACGGCGAGTTTGGCGTCCGAGGCGAGGGTGATATGGAGGAGATGGTGGGAGGAAGAAAGGAGAGCTTGTGGGCAGTCGTTGAGCCAGGCTGAAAAGATTCCAGAGAAGAGAGTGGAATGGAGACGTGCTACTGAAGCTTTATGTTCCACTAGGAACCCAAGGGAAAATTAATCATAATAATAATCCTTATTCTGTATCACAATCGAGCATGTGAAGTTTTCAGCTACTGAATTATATGAATATATGAATTCACTAGATTCACCTTTCTTCACTTTCGAGAAAGAGATGTTATGCATTTGTCATTGTTTTTTGTTTAAGAAAAACTAGTAGACGGAATCCTTTTTCATACAGTTCTCTCTTCTGCTACCATATTTATCTGAACCCCTTGAATTCCGTTAATGATGACAAAATTGGAAAGTCTTATGACATATCTGAAAACCAGTTTTCAACGCTTATATGTTGTGCTTAATTGTACAAAGAAGCTTACTTAATAAAGCTGTAATGTCTTAGATCATAGGACTACATTATTTTCAGTACACTTTTGTGGAATTGATATGTTGATTCACTTCCTGTGATAGAATTAAATGCTGTATTTATCGGGTATTAAGAAAATCGATGTGTATCCGTTTTTATCCTACAGAAGTAGGTGAAGTTTTGAACACAACTTAATCCATGTTTTAGTCATTTTTCTGACTTCATAATTCGACAAGGACGTAGGGAGATCGGGATACTTACCAATGTTTGTTGTATAGTTTCTGGTTGCATGTACATTTTAACTGCAGGTTGGAAAAAGGAGATAATTTCAAATGGGAGGCGTCTAATTTTGTTACAAATATCCAGGCTGTTTTGATACATTCTTAAAAATCAACTTCGTTATACATATTCGTTTTAGACGTTTAGAGATGCATGATTTGAATTCTTGTTCAGAAGTATCCTGATATTTTTAGTCCGGCGTTTAAACACAACAGAAAAATCTTTTAGCAATATACAACAGAAAGTTTTGAAAAGTTGACATTTATATATTCAGTGTACATTTGATATCTAGCCCCCGGGATCCCACACTTAAGGGAAGCAAATAAACTAAGTCGTATCATCATAGACCATGTGATTTGTAGACAGTTTGAGAATTGATCATTCTATTTATGGCATACCAGTTTATCTAAGTCCGCTGATTAGACAGATGTTTGTAACCTAAACAATTTGATTCTATGAGGTGAATTAGCCTTGTAACAACTGTAATAAACTCTACCGCAAACAACGCAACCCAATGTTCAGGTCACTATTGTCTAGCTAGCGAATTTCGTAGATCAGTTTAAGTGGTTTGCAACTACTCACAATAGTCAATTGTATAGGATCCAAACATACTGACTTAGTGTCACACTTTACAATACAATATTCAAAAACTGACCAAATTTTTGCATAAATATATTTTAGCGGAATTATCATCCTATTTTATATAAATTATTTAGATAATGACAATAATAACAATGACACAATAACGATCTCAGTCCTATATCATTCAACTATGCTTACAAATTATTATTATACTTCGTATAGATAATTCCATATCATTATACATATGTATGCATGCATTGAGTGTAATGCTTGAACGCTGTTTTTCATTCGACTAGCTAATTTCATATAATTTAAACAACTTTCATAAACCAAATGGTATCATACTAATAGTAATAATATAACTATTGGAATAATTTATGATTGTGATATACCTTCACGTTTTGTACGGTTCGAGGGTGTAGGGGCATGCATATATATATATATATATATATATATATATATATATATATATATATATATATATATATATATATAGGCAGTCACAGACTTAGATTCATAGAAAAAAGAAATGAGTTCAAGTATTCTATTAAAAGTAGACTTACAAATAAGTCAAGTAAGTAAGGATACAATGCATATTTGTTTGCACTCATTCAAATGTTAATTAGTTACTTGACCAGTTTTTTTTTCCTTTTTATAAAAAAAAAGAGGCTAATAATGGTACTAAAATTTAGATGATAAACAGACGAGTAGTAATAAGATTATTAATATTAATATTATCATATTTCTTTCTCTTAATCTCATTAGATAATTCTATATGGTGAAATAAATCAAGTGAAAAGTTTACAATGTTATATTCATCTACTCATTGAATTATCACCTTCATGGAATACTTATAATAATAATAAGAATAAATTAATAATTAATGGTGAGATTGATGATAAAGAATACGGTCAGTTCAGTTATATTATACTATGTATAAAAATTTTTTTGAAATAGCTTTATTTTGACAGGTTAATTTATCATTTAATGATTATTAGTGATTATGAAAGTGTAGATTACCATAGAATTCTAATCTGTAGACTGTATATTCTCAAATCGTGTTGTAGCTTAAATTCTTTCCTTTTTTTTTTCTTCTCATATTAAGTTAACACGCCACATTTTTGGTCTTTAACATATAATAATAATAATAACAACTTTTGTTTTTGTCTAATATCATAATCTGGTGTTTTGCTGTTTATTGATTAGTTTGCTTATATTCTGATCTTTGTCTAAATAACTTACATATTCTAAGGTTGTTGTGTGTTAAATACCTTTTCTTTTTTTCGTTTTGTTTTAGATGAAGCCTTAATTAACCTTACACCATCCTATATCATATTTTTGTTTTCATTTGTCACTGAAAAAACTTATTCAGTGATTATCAGTGTTATATAACTGAAACTTAAACAACAAGCATTATGATATGATTATGCTTCATTTCATTTATCTTCAATCAATTTAATGACTAGAGTTTCAATCAGTTGATTATGCGTTTGAATCCCATTTTATCGACGGATGGTTTGACAGTCAGGTAGCCGGGAGGAGGGGGAAATCACGATACCATATCGTATCTTAGTGAAATAAAAACAACGAACGGAATCTTCACTCAACTGAAATTTTACGAACTGATATGCAAATGAGGCAGTGACATAAAAATATGATTAAAAATAAGTTTTTTTTTGTACACGGAACTTGTATCAAAAGCTAAGAGTAAGTGTCAGTAAAAAGTGGATGAAGCTATGCTGTTTTATTGGAATGAGTACCAGTGAGTACTGAAAGTCATCATCTCACTAAGATGTGTTTACTGTCTGTCTGTCATATGTTTCACCCTTTGTGTTCATGACTACATCTGGTTGATGTATATAACTTTATCAACAGATGAAAGAGTTAGAAAAAAAAGAGTAATATCAAAGTCGACAAAAGTCTATCAGAGGAAAAGGAATTTGAAAATGAATGTTGGTGAAAAGGTTCGAAGAAAATAAGAAGTTTAGTAAAATTATCCTTTTTTGGCTATCTCATTCTGCAGAGCTGTATAATCTCAGTTTTATACGCTTTTTGTTCCACTATACCTGAATAGTTACTAGGATTATCTAACTAAATATAGTAACAAGGATTTAGTTAAATGAGGATCAAAGATTCACAAATGAAGCGTAATCAAGGGTGGAAATGAAACAAAGTGAAAATGTTGTTGCAAGAAGGTGCAAGTGAATCCATCAGAAGTACTATAATTGAACACCTTGTTATCATTGGTTACTGGTTTACAATCTATACAACGTTCAAAGTCATCTACATGGTGGGAAAAAATTTGCCGAAAATGGTACGTATCCACCTTTCCTGTAGTAAAGAAGCTTTTACCATTCGAATAGAGAAACTGGAATTGTATGTGTAAAAATATTGTTGAATCTTTATTGCTACTTTGGACTTAGTTAGTGGCTATAAACGTTAAATCTATCTCTTTCATGCAATTTTCATCAACGAATCCTATTACTTCACTCTCCCTATCCTTAAACTTGGAGTAGCTACAGACCAATCTTGAAGCATCATCGTACATTCAAAACGCACTCTAAAAGGTCATATCAATTTCCCATTATATTTAATGCTCAAGCGATAGTAGTTTCATTCACTTGATTCTTGTTTTTTTTTCTATCATTTTATTAGAAGAAACTAATGATCAGGTGTCACGTGCTCATTGGTGGGCTCAAATGTTGAATATTTTATGGCAATATAGATGTGATCAAATAAAATTACCTCTTCAATCATCACTTGATGAAGAAGATCAAATTAAGCTTATGGAATCAGATCCGACACACTGTTGTACGCCGCAATCACTAATCAGTTGTTCGTATCTAGGAGATCTTGTTAAAGTTTTGTCAGTCATTAATAAGTAAGTTATTTCTATTCTTAAGAAAATGATGAAGGTGAATTTACCAATACCATTATTTATCATGCAACTCATTTACTTCTTCTATGTTAGCTTACTTACTTAATAACCACAAATACTGCTCTACAGTTTACAATAGTACGTAGTTATTGAAGCCAAAGATTATAGGACGGGGTTAAAACTCATGAATCTGCTTGAAAGTTGAGCACCTAAAGCAATGAGCCACAACTCCATTGGTAAAAATCAGTAAAGTATATTCATAATAGTCAGGGAAAGGACATGTGTGATACAAATCATACCTAGATGTCTCGAATACTGTGGTGTTTTTGTCCAGTTGTATTCCTTCGCCTGTCGACTGTATGCCAATTTATACAACTATTCAGGAATAATACCCCATCTCCTGAACATTTCATTTCGTATGTGTCCAGCAGGAAACAGAGTTTAAATTAGTCTTTTTTCCTATAATATACCTCACTGAATGCTCAGATTATTTGTTCAGTTTGCAAATAATTTACAAATTGCACGATATACGTTAACATTTCTCACAGCTGATTGGTTTTTCAACTTCCCAGCTGTGGCGTCAACAAAATTTCCAATGGAAACCACTCAGCTGAGATCACAAAGTGTCATGAACCAGCGAAAAATACTACTACTGAACAACTTGAGTGGTTAGAAATGGCTCAGGCTGGTCTATATTATTTTGCCAGCTAGATTAGAGTGATCCAAACACCAGTTCTCCGTTTCTCTCCTTCGGGACCGAACTCATCAGCGGCGTACCCGGATAAGTTCAGCTCACAGAGTCAAATTACTTCAGATCATCTGAATCTGGATTGGTGTACCCAAAATAGAATGATCAATTTGAAACGAGCGAAACGATCACTCTGGTCTGACTGACGAGATACTACAGATCAGACTAAGGGGCTTCCAACTACTCAGGTTGTTCATTAGTAGTATCTTTCACCAGATTACTTGTTTGGAATTAAATCATTTCCAGTGTTTGTGCAGAGAAAGAAATCCATTGACTACACTTTGCAAACGCCTATCTATCCTGACTTATCATTTAGTTTGTTAATACCCATTCCAATTGTCAATAGCTATTCCACCAACGGCTCATCTTATTTTCTTATAAGTATAGTCTTTATGTTGAATACCTTTCTTTTTTTGGTTTAGCATAAATGGTACAACTCACTTATGTATCCATTGATAGCTCTGTTGAATAAACATGCAACGAAATCGTTTCTTTTGTTCACCTTTGAAGTGATCTTTCGAAAATTGATAGTGATTGAAGTAATGCATGAAATTACTCATCACTGAACAGCTGTTTTGTGGTATTCATAAACTCTTGATAGACTTATAGTGTGAATGAGTACCATGGAAACGTTTGAGTATTGCTGTAAAGAATTGGGTCCCAGTAGAAGGTACTTATCAACCTACCTTTCACAGGCATTCTTGGAAGAAGCTATGTAGCACAAAGTCTTACACCAAAATGAATTTGTGGAAGAGGCTTGAATTCCATAAAAGAGCTTATTTTCTAAAACCTATCTGCTTGTCAAGCATTTGTCTTTATAAGGTTTATGCGCTACCTTTATTCAATAACTATTTTTTGCTTCTATCATCTATTCAGTAATAAATGTTAATTGATGACACTTCTATTTCTCTCCTTCTTTTTACGCATAGTTTCAATTCATTGGATAATAAAACATCTTTTCATATGTCACTTCAATCTGTATACTCTTCGTTAAGAAGTCTTGCAAAATCTTGTCGAAATTTGAATAATTCACATACTGGAATGGGTAGTACTGTGAAATCGAATCCACAGTTTGATTATATGCGATTCAATTTTTTGGTAATGCTGTAACATGTTTTCATTGTATATGTGACATATTTGTCTGTATATGCTTTTATCACTTCTGATTGTTAGATAGTTATGGTGAGCATTCAAATTTTTGAGTGACTTTAAAGACCACCCCAGCAACAACTGAAATAAATAATTAGAGTTCTTCATTTCAACTGGAAAGGTATATTTTCTTGAAATAGGGTAGCTTGATTGGTTATTTCAGTTGTTGTTGTTGTTAGGGTGGCCTTTAAAGTCACTCCAAGTTTTAGAATGCTCTATTTCAAACTGGGAACTAATTTTTAATGAGAGTTAAGGATTTTATTGCCTTTTAATCACTCACAGTTATTTTATTTGCTTATTAATCATAAAATATGATAGGCCTATTAATTGCAATGTTTAATGTATTCGTTTGACCTTACTTGCTCTGTCTACAAAACTAAGGGGAACTGGGTGGTGTTTTCATCACTCAGACTATATGTCTACGTGTGTGCTTAATTCTTGATCGTCATTTCATTCATATTTGTTTTATGAGGGCAGAAGCATCGGAATGCTCAGATGAAGAGATCACCAATCCACGAAGTCTCTGACTATTGTTGTGAAGTGTGCAAGGAAATTGACCTTTCTTGTTTGATGTGTACACTGAAATCTAAATCCATGGTTGAATACTGTATATACTGCAGAGTCGGTCGTAATGGCTGAGATTCTATATATGCTGTCTTTTCTTCCAACTTGTTTTTTCATCCTCTACATTTCTTGTGTTACTTCTTTGATTTTGTTTTGATTTCTCCTTTCTGTGGTCATACGAAATATGACAATTCGAACCGATATGCATTTCTAACAGTTTTTGTGTTATTGACATTCTTTTCTGTTTCCTTATGTTACTAATGTGCCTATTATTGTCTTTTATTTACATTTTCAAATTCACATTCGTTTAGAAAGACTAAACTCTACGGTATAGGGTTATATCTGTTTCACAAATGGCAGTCTGTCAAACTGAACTTCATGACTATGCATTTTAACATTTTCCAGGGTTCATATGACGCCGAACATATGAGTTTCCGACACTGTACAGTTTAACCGATGAGAGGTACTAGCCTGTCTGTCTATAGCTGTGGTTAAACAACTGCATTGCATCTTGGTAACAGTATTCTAAATGCTGCATAACCTTTTACTAAATTTCAGTACAATTAATTGGTAACAGTATGTTTCTTAGTATAAGGGTTTTTATATGATATCGTCGTTGATTGGATGCCTCGATATTGCCAGCAATCTAATTGTGTTAATGATGGAGAGACCGGTCAATTCGGTCTAATCAACGATGGTATCATATAAAAAACCTTATACTAAAAACTATACCCGTCGCACAAGAAGCGGCTATCGTGGCTCGGTGGTATAGTGGATAACGCGCCGGCATTTGAAGCGATCGCTCCCGAGTCCAAATCCCGGTGGGAACAACATCACTCACTGGGAAGCAGGTACATCCAGCTGACGAGTCCCAAATAAGACGAAATGCACATCCTAGATTCCACTGCTAGCCACAATCCATCATTAACGGTATGTTTCTTGTTTTATGGTCATTATCTCAGTGGTATTAGCTATTAAGTCACATGTTAAAATATAGTTCATATATTTCAGTTCCAGGACTCAATCAATATTAGAGATTTTCACATGAGATATAGCTCCATCAGCTTATTTATTCAACTTTCAAGCAATTGGTCTAATGCTCAAACTATTCTTGACCAACTTTGACAGCTGAATGTTATAATAAATCATCATAGTATATAGACCAATATGAAGTTGTGTTATATTTTATCTAAAGTGAAGTTTTGCCAATACTTTCTAAGTATGTAGTTCGATGATAAACTCTATAGTTTGTGTTAATAGTTATATTTCTCTTTATATTTTTAAGTTACTTTATAATCTGTCATTTCACCGAATGTACTTTATCATTAAAGTCAGCCGTCATTACGTTCATTTTTAATACTGGAACCAAAAAAAAAATATAACAATGATGTGACGTTTGCACTAGTCTAATTGTATGAATATATATGTATATATTTTTTTTAATAAACCGTTTCATCTTTAAAGGCTTGGTCTTTGGTCGCAACCAACTGGTTTATTGATGTATTAACTGTGAAATTGAAAAGTATGAAAAGTTGTAAGATGAAAGAAACAACTGATATATCTATGGTGTTGTTGGCTAATGGTTTCACTGATAGTGTATACTTGCTTCGTCAACTAATTGATGACTATTTTAATATGCCTACACTGAATTGGTTTAGAATAAAGGTTTGTTTGATTTGTATTTTTTTTTTCATCCTTGATACCTATGTATTCATGTATTTATGCTAGCAATATAAATTCGTATATTTATTCAACTTAAACGTCTTTTAAAGCTGGTTTTCCGTTTTAATGCAATCGAATATTATAGATGTTGTGGTATGTAAGGAAAAAGCATCAAACTAGAATGGAAAAAAAAACAAGTATTAAAAGGTGATTAAATTATTTTCTAGTTTTTGAAATGATGGAGATATATAGCTCAAATCTAAAATAATAATGCTTTGATGTCCTCTACTCATTCAAAGTTAATGATTGGTATGACAAATAGTGTTATTTTCCTTGTTTCGAACATTTTTGATGTATGATAGTTAGTGGTTGGTTGAACAGAATCCTTGAATACTTTCTCAGTGAAAAGAATCGATTGTACAGTGATGCATTTCCAGATATCAAATGAGTGTATTTCATTTTTGGCACAGATATCATTTGACTACTAGTTGAGTAACTCATTAGATTATGTAATATACTTCTAACTATTATGCGTAAAAACTTCATCACCCCCACCTACCACGATCTTGGAAGCTAGATAGGTAATGTTGTTCGATTTAGTACGCTACATGTTACTCATACCTTTGTATACAAGTTTATATAGAGTTTTTGAATTGTTGAGCTAGTTGACTAAACAATTTGTATTTCATTTTAAGTCAACATTTCAGTAACTTAGAAATGATTCATTTTTAGCCTATACTGTTTCATTCTAAAAGTTTACTTTTATTGTAAGACTTGCATTGGGGGTAAACAAAAGGGATAGGCTGAATGTGCTATCTTTGAAAAATGTTGGCGCGTTTTGCCAATAGATTGTCTACTACTGATTAGATGGTAATGATAAGTAATGAGTTAGTTGGATTGTTCAGTAAGTATATCGGAAAAAAATATGCAAATCTGACAGTTGAGATACTTTTGATAATAATCATGAAGATATTGTTAATTTCAACATATCTCATTTCGATCATCTAAACATTGCAAAGTAGTAGATTCAATGTAGTTGTCTTAATCTTTAGTGCATTTTCCCGCTTGTTTGCGCTAGTTAAAAGTCTTGCTGGTCACAATCGATCAGTAGGATTATCTCCAGTATGAAGGTGGTATCACTTTGTACTTCTCGAAATTGAAATCGATCCAGCATCCTGGTGTACATACGTCGAGCAACACCTGTTATGTGAGGGCTAATGATACTGCTTAGCCGCCCAAAGGTTGGTCAGTTGGAGCGGTGTTCAAATTCGTGACCTTTTGAAAGTCAACTGTGTAAACCAATGAGCCACAACTCCATTCGCACAAATTAGGTGTGAAATATCTAAAAGGTAACTTTTTTCAATGACAATAGACTTACGGTTTTGGCTGTTTAGACGACATGTTGTCCGATACAGCGAGTAAGAGAATAAGCAGTAGTTCAGCAAAATGATGCGGTTTACAACAAATATCTTTGGAAACCAGGAAGAAAGGATAAGTTAAGGGAGCTAACTATTGTCTTTGGTCTTGTGCATCATAGACTTAAGATCAGTGTAATGTAATGTGTAGTAGAGTGGATGGAAACGATAGGAAACATTCATCAAGTGAATGGTTCATTTTCTGTTGATCTCAGTGAACTGTGAACCCCAAACCTGAGTTTTCTATCGATATATTCAACTAATATTGTCAGATATTATGCACTTGTTCTAACTAAAGTCATATATCTGAGAAAACAAACAGTGTGAAATAAAAGTTTGTTTGTCAGTTAAATTCAGAGTATAGAGTATGGTCAACTAGATTCACTGATGTATAGATTGATTGAAACGAGCATTAAATGTCCGAAGTGAACGAACAATACTCACTTAGTGGTTTCTCTTGACTGATCAATTACGAGTTAGGAAGCTGACGCTTACACCTACAACATTTTGAAGCACTAAAGAAGAAAAGGCTAGAAAGGCAAGATTTATTCCTCAGGAAAAAGGTAAGAGCTAATTGTAGTTGTAGCCTTGTCTTATGGTTATTATTACTGAACCAATAACTACCAAGTTTAAAACAAAAAATTGTCTTCTGAGACATTGTTCAATGACGCACTAATAAAATGCCAATAGCATTACTTTTAACTAAAGAACCTAGAAGACTTGGATTTCGCCGATGACTTGTGCCTAATGTCACATAAACTTGAAGATCTGCAGGCAAAAACTAACAAGTTGATAGAAGAGGCAGCTAAGACGGGACTTCAGGTGAATATAGAGAAGACAGAAGTGATGAAGATACCGCACCACCACCATCAACAACAACAACAAACTCCAATCACCGTCAACGGGAGAAACTTAAAGGAAGTAACCTCCTTCACTTATCTAGGAAGCACTGTTTCAACTACAGGCGGGACGGACGAGGACGTCAAAGTCAGAACCGGAAAAGCAAGACAGGCGTTCATTAGCCTGAAACCAGTGTGGAGATCTTCTGCACTCAGCATATGGAACAAGATCCGGATTTTCAACACCAATTCAGTCAAGTCAGTGCTCTTGTATGGTTCAGAGACTTGGCGCGTCACGAAAAGGATTTCCAATAAACTACAGACATTCATCAACAACTGCTTACGCTCGCTACTGGAGATCAGATGGCCAGAAAGAATAAGCAACAAGGAACTCTGGGAACGAACCAACCAAGAACCTATCACGCAACAAATATGCAGGAAGAAGTGGAGATGGATTGGCCATGCACTGAGAAGGCCGACTGAGGACATCACGCGTCAGGCCAGTTGCTCGAGTGGAATCCCCATGGGAAGCGACGAGTTGGACGTCCGAGGGTGACATGGAGGAGGTCGTGCGAGGAGGAAATGAGAGGTTGTGGGCTGTCGTGGAACCAGGTTCAAAAGATCTCAGAGACAGAGGTCACTGGAGGCGTGCTACTGAAGCCCTATGTTCCACTAGGAACCCAAGGGACTAATAATAATACATAATAATATAATTTAGTCCACATCTTGCATAGAAAAAAAAAACTAATCAACCATCTATCTTTCTGTCTGTTCTAACAGTGATCTTGTAAGATACAAGTCAGGGAAGTTCAAATAATCCCTAACGCGGTTAATTGCAGTGAATTTAGACACTAAATGAATTTATTATCAGTATATCTTTCATGTAAACCAGCTGATAAGGTTATATATTATACCATTTTAATGATTTGTAGAGGAATCAAACTTTTTAACACTGACCGTAAGATATTGTAATAAGCCTGTCGAATTTGATGAATTGTAAACTTGTACTGATGAAGAACGTTTTTATCATATTTAATATAGTAGGTGTTGGCGATATTGTGTTGCACTTTAGCTACTCTATAACTGTGTCTCATTGATTCATGGAGATGACGTTAAACTCCTTGGTTTACGGGTTCGAGCCCTGCTCCACCTACTGAGATTTGAGCAGTCAGGTAGTATCAGTAGTCCTTTAAAAATAGGTGTGGCTCATTGCCTACTGCAAGTAAATACACAAGGTTACTGAATGTATTTCGATTTTGATTCGAGTTTAAAGATTTTTATTTCTCAGTTATGCTTTATTGTTAAATATTCTGCTGATACTGTCAACCTTCATATAAATTCTATGGTATGCAGATTCGTAGACAGTGAGAAGAATGAGATGTATAGTCAAATGCATTTGCAACTTACTGAGGTTTATTTACTTCACTGATTACTGATTTCCGTTATATCTTCTACCTTTATACACTAATTTTTGTTTTATTCCCTTTTACTATTAACCTTTTAGTTACAAAATGCAGAAGCTGTTCATCGTATGCTAGTTGGAGCTAGTCCTATTCGTGCACGATTTGCACTCTTACAAAACCACAGTTTGTCTCGTTTACCTAAACTGGTAACTGTGAATATTAAAGAAGAAGAAGAGGATACAATTAAATCTGTAAATGATAATTGTGTAACCAAAGCCACTGACAAAAGGCAACCACTTTTACATTATCATGATAATCATGTGAATGGTGTTAGTATGCCTGCAATAATATGTCGACCGACGCCTAGAAATGGTATAATGTTACAGTCACCCGGATGTTAATCCCAGTATTATTATTAATATCATCATCATATTTTTCCTATTCATATGTGTATTTCTTTACGCGTCATAAACAATTCTCGATGACAAATATCCTTGCTATAATCTATGAATACAACGAACGTATTATTGTTATTTTAGTACCATTCTTTATACATTGAAATCTGTAGCATAAATAACATTTTTTTAATTTGTTGCTTTATTTGACACCGTCTACCCCCTACCCCTATCAAAACTATAGTTCCATATATCGAATTAACTATTCTCGTTGTAGTTGTCATTAACTGGTCCTTTAGGCCAATTATCTGGTAAGAATGATATACTTAGTAAATTTAATCTGCTCATTTATTCATAAACGATTATATAAAAGCCTACACAATCAACCGTATACATAGTGTAATCGATTCGTAAATATAAAAGTTTTTCATGTAAAAGGTACATAAAGTTGTTATTGCTTTTTTAGTCATTTCAAAATGTCTCAAATTTCACCAGTTGGAAGCGTATTTCCCAACTTAGTTTCTATTCCATATAACTCAGTGTTTTACTTCGACTCAAGCCTAAGATAGTTGAAAAAAATTTGATTTCTTGGGAATTATTTTTAAAAGAAAGCTTTCCTAACTGTTACAGACCTAAGTAGCGATTCCAGTTTACACTGAAAATTGGAACAGTGTTATGATTTGGAGAACTGTGGTTGATTATTTACTACTCAAGCCACTGTGTTGTGACGCACTAAGTGATTGATTGTATCTGTGAATTTGCATCGTTTGGAAATATGACTCACAAAGTGTTGTATGCTTTCAGAAAGATGAAAAGAAAGTCGATGAGGGATTATATAACATCGTGATATTACCAAACATTTACAGTTGTCTGATAGCTGTTATCAGCTTTCTGTTAGATTTTCAATCAATTCACCTGTTACCACTAGGAAAACTGGTTATGTTACAATTACTTGAATTTTGTAAAGCCCTGTTCTGTGAATTCTGTTTCGGATGGGTAGATATGTGGTGCATGCCAGCGAAGGGACTGCTTCTAGGTGGTATTTATTTAAAGCCACGTGGTACAATATGATCACCAAGAGATACATCGTGTAAAATAATATGATAAGACTGTAGTGATCCAGTGAGAAGGAATAACAGAATAGTACAGAAGCAACGTAAAACACCGCCTATTAAGGAGCGATTGACTACTTTTGCTCTATTTGTTAGCTATGGCAGAGATAAGGAAGCTGCAACCTCATAGCTGTGGGTTCCCATTCTCAGCTACTCGCGCTATCGTCCTAGTCTTCTGCGCTATACAATCGCTTGGGCTGTATCCAGTGAGTCAACAAACACAAGTGTAGCGGCATTGGTAACGAAAATGTGAAGCCTGCTTTCCTAGACAACTCCACTCAGATTGCGACAACCTTCATTATACAGAAAAGTGTATCATCTCATTTCACAATTCACACCTTGTTTCCACTGAGTGTTGACAATCCTATGGAGATAACTAATCAAAAATACGGAGTTGTTGGACATCTTTGACCAGGTTTCACAGGCGCGAAGCAGAACCTACCACACTGGCGCATTGCATGTTTGAAATTATGCAGGTAGGATGACGATGCGACGGGACCAAAGGTGGCACCAATTGGCATACGCTACTCTTGCCTTCGATATATGATAGCAAATCTCATCAGTTACACTACTGGCAGTTACACAACTAATCATGTATTTAAGCGTTTTGACAATTTCCAACATTTTACCACCAATGGTGAGTACAGATATAGGCTCCTTTCAATATTGTAGTGGCACTTTGACGGTGCGTAGAACATATCATTGAAACTAACACAGGTGTGATTTGATGTGCCTGTATCTTTTCACGGCAAAATAGTGTCCACAACCTTGAAGTTAAAATATCTTTCACCTGGTACTAGGTCTACATCACTCAATTCCTTCAAGGTTATTTCGAGAAGACCAACGGTTGCAAGGACGAAGCTGAGTGGCGAAGTCAGGCACCTATACCTCACCTCACTATTGATCAGAAATGATAGCGAAGGTGGCCCATAAACCACTGAAACCAAGGTGTTGAAGTACGTGGCTTTCGTGTTATCGACAAACGTCTCAAAGACACCAGTTTGACAGACTGTTTCGGGTTACTACCTTGTCCAAGTAGCTCGAAATAACCCTGGCATCAGTAGCTGTTGACCTCGAATACATACAACGTTCAACTATCTTACGGTGGGTGAACATGTAATGAAAGCATCCACGGCTTGCATGAAACCTGGTTGGTTTTTGCATGTGCGGATTGCCCTTCAAAGTATGATAGCCGCCAACACTTTAGAAACTACCGAAAACAGACTGATACATCCTATTTTATTGAGTACAGTGCTTAAGCCATCTTTAAAGATGGTAACGACAGTGGAATCACTCTATATTGATTAAACGCTCTAAAGTTGCCATGTTGTCACAAACGGTTTGGCCAATTCTGACTCCACCCTGAAAACGAGGCTCGAGTAGACTGTCCAGGCAGGTTTCTTTTAATGGCACTCTGGGGTCTAGATTTTTCCTGAGAGCCTTTTCGTTGGCTGAGTCAGCTTTAACTAGTCAAGGGACACAAGACCATGAAGTCATTACTGCTGGGTCAGCTGAATTGTCTTTCTAAGTAATTTGACACGCATTCCAGTTTCCTCACAAGGTAGTGAGTCATCGTTCCTTCGTTTCCAGAAGACGAGCTCATACGGAACAGGTTTCTGCTACTGGCGCCTACGACAGCTTCTAGTAACTGTTAGATGCAGCCTGGACGTGGATAAATGTGAAATTTATGAGTCCAGGCTTAAATGGCTGCCGAAAGATGCCGGGTAGCCCAAGATTTATGGCCATTCTGAAAGTTGTTATTGAGTAGAAATTAATCAAGATTTGCGGGAGGCTTCAGGCGGCAAGTACAACCGTCATGTCGAAAACCGGAAAACATCGTTGACTACCTAGAAGACAATCGTCTGGGCCTAGACTCTTGGACGATAATCAGATCTGCAGGTCAACTTCGAATGGAACAAAAAGAAAGTGAAAAAGCGAATGGAGGAAATTCTGGATGGAGATCTGTCGCGCGTTCCTCATGAAGACGAAAAAGTAAAGTGAGTAACCGGAAGGAGGATGTAGTGAGGAAGTACATGTGCATAATCTTTGGAAAAGCAGCACCCGTTATAAGTTTGCAATATTCTGTCTATACCAAGTGCGCTTGCCTGATGAACAGTCTCTTATTGTGCTCGGTACCATAGCGGCCGCTGCCGCATCTACTGGGGTGAACAGTAGTGAGACTAGCGTCACATACTTCCCCAGAGCCAATAACGTGGGGTTAGATGAAACTCAACAGTGACTGGCTTAAGCGTCTGTCAAGATTGCACCAGGAAAGTTCCTAAATTGGTGAGCGCGTTCCTTTTTACACTCGTACGTCGTTTCTATTTTGATAAGCTTTATATATCCATATATAACTCCTTCCCATATCCGACCATACTCTAAAGCTTATCCGTATTAAGCTGATGAGGAACACTGTCCAGCTTGCCTCATACTGGCTAGACAATGCAGAAACATGGTTTCTGTATGCCAAGGCAGATTTCCGAGAGGGGACAGTCACAGATCCAGACTCTCGATCTCTTACTGTCATACGTTAACTACCGCGGGAATTAAACAGGCACGTTACGAGGCGTATATTTAGCCCTGAAGAAAAGACGCATATCCACTTCTCATGGCTAGATTCCTCAAGGAAAGTGAACTCACAGATCCCCAGAGCCTAAACGAATTGCTTCGTAACATCGAGCTAGGCAGCCACTCAGCTACTGAAGTCCTCGCTTACATGCGAGAAGTTGTGAGCACACGGAAGATCAATAACGGCATTTTCCGAGAATTATTTCTCTCAAAACTATCGCAACTGGTCCAAACCGTGCTAGTAACACTTCGGTCAGCTCCACTCAATGAATTGGAAGCCTCAGCAAACAAATTACTGGCGATCTTAAGCAGACCTGTCTCCAACGTATATCCTCTCTAAGATAAACCTGAGACCCAGGATTCGGAAGTAACCAAGCTGTGCAACTCTGTTAAGCGGCCGCTATCAACTAGTAGCAGCACATCACAGAAAGGCTTCTTAGCCCACCACAGTGACTCGCGTGGTCATACAAAAAGCAAACCTAACAGAGCGGAAAACCCTAAAAGGTGCTGGCTTTACAAAGCCTACAGGGACGAAGCCAGAATAGGCTGGAGGCCATGCAGTTTCAACATGGATGGGGCTCGGGAAAGTGCCACGCCTGGACGCGTTCACGGCAACCGTAGCCGGCGAGAACAGCCGTTTGGTTCGCGTCACCGACATCAAAACGAAAGTTCACTACCTCGTTGACACAGGTGCAGAAGTTAGCTTTCTTCTCGCACCCACAAAAGAGTGTCATCATCACCCGTCCTTCAACCTTCAAGCAGCTGACAGCAAGTCGACCACAACACTTAGGAGACGGCATGCCTACCACAACTTAGATTTACGTAAACCTATTCACCAGATTTTCCCCCTGGCTGATGCTTCTGTGCCTATCATTGGCAAAGGTTTGCTAAAGCATTACGATCTGTTCGTAGATGCTCGTCTTCGACGACTGACAGATAGTAAAATAAAGTTACACATTGACAGCACCATCTGCGTGGGTCCGAATTTAGCCATCGTTAAAACTAAATCAGGCGACGTATCACATCAGGCGGTGTCTGAGAAATATCCAGAGTTACAGCAACCTAGGCATACTCTCCTGCGCATAACCAGCAATGTTATGCATAACTTCACAACTAGAGGTCCACCTGTTGCATTCAAAGCACGCCCTCCAACCCCTGTCAAACTCAAAACCGCGAAGAGTGAATTTGACCACATGCTCGAGCTGGGCGTTTTCAAACATTTAAGTAGCCCTACGGTATCACCATTGAATGTGGTTTGCAAAAAAGGTAGTCTGCTTGTCTAAATCCTTGACGATGTCTCAGGTGGTACACAGATACAACAACTACAGGCACATCAAAAAACATGATCAGTTCAAACCGGACGGCGCTTGGGGTATATAAAGGCATTCAACTGACCAACCACTTTCAGATTCAGATCTTTGTTCGAGTCACCACTTTTTTATTTAACTGCAAAACGTCTCCCACATTTTACTTCTTCGTACCAATGCCTTGGTATGACGTAATCGTACCTTTCCAGGAAATAAAGTAGAATTGAG